GCCAACGCACAACCTGGATGCTGGGCCGCAGAAGGGAGAGAGTGAGTGGGATCTAAAATCCTATTTATAGCATTCCAGACAATAGAAACACAAAAATAAGCACAAATTACAAAATGATTCTTCTGTACTGTTGTAACCATTAAACAATTTCCCCTTTAGTTCAACCTTACAAGTGGAGATATATTGTTGATGTTACTATTATGAAATAACTTGCAATTAAGTAGTGGCAAAGATCAATGTAATTTTCACAGGAGGTGGAGCGTTCGCACCACTATCGTTAGCAACTGCTGAAAGTATCTAAAAAAGTTACTTTTAATGTAACTTCCAATTCAAGAAATCAGTAATTTAACTAAGCTACTTTTCAAGGCTAAACAGTAATCTGCTTAAAGTTACTTTTTGAAAGTAACTTTTTGAAAGTTAGTGAACTACTGAACTCTATCTTCTGATGGAAAACATCTTAGTTTTAGTAACATCTTAGTTTTATTTATTAAAACTAAGATGCTGAAATCAGGGTTCTGCTAGATGGAAAGCTATAGTGAGGCTCAGCCTTCAGCTATTAGGTACAATTGTTGTAGTCAGCTGCAGATTTCACTAAGAGTTTTAGGAAACAAATACATACTGTGATGGACCAGTTCCTCCCTACCGCTGACAGCAAGACACATGCACATATGAACACACAAACGAAAACAGGTGCACAATTGTGTCCCTATTTGAACGATAGTTACAGCCACTTTACCCTACACATTCACCCTTTCCTTCTTGCATTCCATTTTACTCCAAACTTGTACACACACATTTTATGCTGTACCACCAGCAGTCAGAACCTTATCCCTATTGTAACTGGAAACAAAACCTTGAGAATGAATGCTGAAGATAAAATGTTGTTTTTTGTTTGCACCTGTTTAGTTTATCTATAGATAAAATGACTTTTTGATTGTTAGCCTGACAGTGGAGAGGGGCTATGAGATTATAAGAAGAGTTTCCCATATTAATGCTCACAATAGTGAGGACCAGACCATAACAGAGATGCTCATAACTGGGCTAGAACTGAACAACACATTAACAAATCAGAGTGAGATTTGATGTTGGAGAAAAGGCATTGTTCATTTACAATTCACATTAGCAAGAATATAAACAGCTGTACCTAATTATATGGCCAGTGAATGTATTACAAGAGCTATGTGATAGGATGGGGTTGGATATTTGGTATGGTATTTGGGAACACTATGAAGATTCATGCAAGTAACAGCATCTCATTGTTTAATCACATTTCTAGATTTTAATTTTTGGGTATTTTTTGTGGTCTCCCTTAAATTGTGTTTTCTGTTGTGGCTGCATTTTCTAAATTTTAATTGGTAGGTTTATAGCAGCTAATGCTAGAAACATGAGCATTAGCGATTGGCTGGAAAAAAGTAGAATGAATTTTGAAGTAATGTAACACTAGCACCAGAAATAATCACATTGTTTGTGGTGAACTGAGGTTCTGTCATTCTGCCATTAATGGTGTTTGGTATGAAGATGTTTGAGGCACTCAGTTCAAAACCTGTCAGTTTTGATGTGCTTGATGTGTTACTATCACATTGAATCCAAGGTTGAGAAATAAGACTAAGACAGAGAAGAAAGGTTGGTAAACAACAGGAATTTTTAGTTGATTGCAGCAGATGCTGTGCATTGCAGCCTCTGCCAGGAAAAACAAGTTAAACCAAGAGTGCAACTAGTGACACTTAAACACAGACACATTTCTCCTGCTTATGTAAATAGAAGACTGCGCACTGGTGTGAGAGAGAGAGATGGATAAACCCACATAATGTTACAGAGAGCATATGGGAAGCCTTGTCAATACTTCCAAAACAGCTGGGGAAGAATGAGCTGCAGTAATCTTACTGTGGAGTAGAATCACATTGCCCTCCAGTGGTAAGATTACATAACACAAGAAAGACTTCAGGGATTCCTTACCCCAGCTGAGAAACCTTCCTCCTTTTGTTGTTTTTTTTAATGTGCTGACATGACTTATGAGTAAAGATTTTAAGAACTGTTTGACCTTATACAGCTTAATTCCTTTTAAGCAATTAGATAAATTAAAGCCTGAATAGTTTTTGACCAAAACAGTAAAGATAATTGACATTGACATTGTGTGTCACTGTGCAATGTGCTTAAAAATAGATCCATTGTGTCCCTCAATATGTTTTAAAGAATACTGAAAAACAATGTATAACATTACTTGAGGCAACATTCTCAATCCATAGAGTCATCCTTGACTAACTATTGCAAGACCAAATGAGTAGAGTCGAAACTTGCTTAAAAGATCACAGCCAATGAGGTACTGACACTGGTTTGCCTGAACAGGCACTTGAACCCTGCACCCTCTAATACTCCACTGGCTGACCTACACAGGCTTCAATTGAAAGACCTTTCAGAAGTGACTGACAATCTGGTTGACACACAGTACTAACCTAGATTGTTAAGAGGTAGTTCTTTCTCTTAAAGAGGAAAAAAGAGGAAAGGCCTCACTACTCACTGTGTGTCAACGTGCTGAAGTAAAGATTGGCTTATAAACTTAACTGTTGATCTACTCAATATGTTTCAAAGAATTCCAAATAAATTGTACAACAATATGGTAGGCATTATTCCTTATCCATACAGCCAATATAACGTTGACACTGGTTTGCTTGAACAAGGTCTTGAACCCTGGACCCTCATATGATAAGTATGATGTTCTACTACCTGAGCATACAGTGTAGAAAAGCGGCGTGATACAGTGGAGTAAAGCAGAACCTGGTTTCACCATCACTAAACTGGATTGTTTCGGTTTTAATTCAGGTTTTTTTTTTTTTCACTTAGCGTCTGAAACTCTTCACGTTTTTGGGTGTTTTATGTTTTAATACCAGTTAACTTGTGGTAGAAGACGATTTTATCAAGATCATGACACCATGGAAACGCCAACATATTTACATATGTGTGGCCTAGGCATAAGATAAAAGGTTATGTTTAATGCTGCTGATAGCAATGCTGGCAGCTCCTTCATCCTGAAGGAGATCCATCCAGAAGGTTTTGTGCTGCTCACCACAAAGCATTGCTGATGATGGAGTTAGAGCAATGCTTTCAAATTAAGTTGCTAAGCTTCAGCTCCCTGATAAACTGATCATAACTCACCATCTTGGTTATGACCATTAGAAGGAAGTTATGTGTAGTTTGATGCTAATCAACCAAAAGGTAAAAGTTGAAGCCTTAAGACACCTCTCCTCATCTGCATAATGAGGCAGAAATGCAAAAGTTTTAGTATGGACAGTTTGTGAGGACATTTTTGTTCCATTGAGAGTGAAGATTGGAAGGACAGGATACAATGATTGTTTTATATATATATATATATATATATATATATATATATATATATATATATTATATATATATATATATATATATATATATATATATATATATATATATATATATTTTTTTTTTTTTTTTTTTTTTTTTTTTTTTAAATGGCATCAATAGAACTGGTAAGCATAATTTACACTAAGTATGAAGTTAATATCAAGCCTTTCATCATTCTTGCCCACTCTGGTGCATAGCATTACCAGTATTAGTACATCATGTATGCAGAGTTTGAGCCAAAAAAATGGCCTCTATTAATTTCAATCAATAGGTTAACTCTCTGTTTTGGTAACAAAAGAAAATCTAGGATTTTTTGCACCATTGAAAGCAAGTCTACAACATGCACATCTAAATTAACTCATGGCAGACAAAATGTTATGTCTGCCATAAAACAGGGGACAGAAAAATGTAAAAATACATATAAACAAAAGGATTTTCTAGGTAGGCGAGGAGGATTCATAATTAATAATAATGATAACAGAGATACAAATGTTTTTATTTTTGGGGGGAAAAATATTTTGCTGCATTCGTTGGAACCTTGGTGGTCCCTAATTACATATCAATCATAAAATCAGACACTGACAACTCCCAGAACCAGAATTGGGTGTGTTGCCTCAGGGCAACATTGTGCTTCAAGGGGTCTAAAACACTAAGACTTTCTAATGTGATTATGAGAAATGAAATACAAATCAATCAAAAGCTATATTCATAAAAAAAAAAACTTTTTTTAATTAACCAGACTCACCAAACATAAAATAAACCATTCACTTTCATTAATGAATGTTACATTTGAGAAAATTACTAAAACGAACACATGTTTTTGTACGTGTATTTTTAGTGAAGTTAGAATCACTAAGGATGTTGTCTTCAGTTTTTTTTTCCTATTATATGTAAAACATCGAGAAGGAATTGCTTGCTGATGTGAAAAAGAGTGTATATCACATTTCTTGTTGCTTTTAGTCAGTAATAAAATTTAAAAAATTGGCTGTGATAATTATTTTGTAATCAACTGCATATCAACGCACTAGATTATTGTCTGAAGAAAACTGTGCAATGTTGTCCTGAGGCAACAAACAAAAAAACACAGTTTTAGCATATAAATTATTTTTAAAATGTCTTGAAATGATCTTTAATGTTTATTTACATACGCACAGACATGACAATATTTTTAGTTATAGTTACCCAAAATTTAAACATTAAGATAACTTAGAAAAAGAAGGCAAGGTGTACCATCCAACTCTGCTTAATAAAAAGGTCACATGAACCTCAATACCTCTTTTTCTTAGACAAAGATATGTCTCATGCTACTTTAAATCATTCCCCCAAAAAATAAAATAAAGGAGCAACGTGAGGTACAGATATGTGGTTTGTTACCTGAGGGCAACGCCATGCCATAGAGGGTTAAAAACATAATTTGTTAGAACTAAGCGAAAACAGAAAACATAAATCTGAATGTGACATTATAAAATATGAGGTAAATTTCTCTATTTTAAAATTAACTTGTATATTTATATTGATTTATGCATTGCGCCATTTATATAATTCTGCTTTTTTTTGTTATCATGCCAGTCCCATTCCTCCGTATCTCCATGGAGACCGGGCAGCGTAAGCGAAGGTGCAAAAATAACGTTTTCTGATTGGCTTCAGGAAATTGATGCACAACTAAATCAAGGTGGACTCCTGGCAATATGACCGGAAGCTCATCCTTCAAAGTAATTTATCTATGTATATATCTTAAGCGCCACAAATTAGAAATAAATTACCCAAAAGTAATTACAGATTATTTATATTCATTATTTACTGCATAATACCAACAGTGAATAAAGTTACTTGTGTTTTGATTGCAATTTTGCCAGTAAACGGAAGTTGAGCGTTGCACTGTGTCTAGCTTCACTGCTGGTCCTCAGAAAGAGGAAAGGATGTGACTCGAGCCTCGGTCTCATGCCCATCGGTCCAGAAGCGACGTTGTTTGTGTTCCGTTCTACTTTCGATATGGAAGCTGGTGTAAATTAGCGCGAGCCTCCTCTCCTCCAGTCCTTCTCCTAACCATAGGAGGATGATCCACCGGCAGATTCTGTTATCCCAGGTAGGCTGTCTCCATTGTTGCTGTGTAATGTTGATGCTATAGCATCATGTCAGCCTATTATGTCTCAGCGTTCAGCAGCTGCGGCCCTGCTCTCCGTTAACCGCATACAGCCGCTATGTGCTGGGCGAAGGATGCTTTGTATCATGTCGTTATCAAGATATGCAACGGGATATTTTTCTATAGTAACATGTTTCACATATAGACAATTTATCACAAAAAATGACAAGTAAATAAAATTATATATTATAATCAGACTACTTATCGCAAGCCAAGTATGGTGTTCCTGTTGCTTATGGTTCAGCATTATACATTAGTTAGCATTATATCAAACCGCACAAAGTCACTGGATCTAACACCAGTCTTCTAGTGTGTGAGGCTGAGAACATACGAAGTTGTGTGTGAAATGTGGCTGAACGCAGGCGCACAGCTCAGTTCAGGTCCCGAATAGCGTCATGTTTTTCTCGCTGGAGATGCTGCCCTAGTTTCTCCTGATTTGAGACTTAAAGGGAAGTCTGGGGAGAGGCTTCCCCTTCCCTCTTCGTGTGGGGATTCCCATTGTCAAAATCCTGTGCTATAGTTTATCAATAGCAATAGTTTCTTCACTGTGTCCTGATACATTGTTAGTAGTAATTAGTGTCATGTTTATGCATTACATTTCAATGTGTGTAGCTTTTGTTAATGTGGAAAGTACATTTGTTTTAGTCCTACTTTTTTTCATCAGGCCATATTAAAGAAGATCTGAATTTTTAACAAATACTAAAATCATTTAAATTTAACCTTAAGTGTACAGAAACATACACCAGAGTCCATACTGTTATTGTTGTTTAAACAAACACAAGCCCAAAGGGAAAAGGTCTTATCTGAAAAGTAAGTCCACTATCTGTTCTCAAGTAAACTTTAACAGCAAAAGTAGGCGCCATTACTTAAATACACTTTTAATTAATTGTTTTTAATTGTTTAATTAATAGGATTTTTGATTAAATCCTAAAATTAATAAGCTAAAGAAGATGCAAAACATAGCATAAAGAAATTGTTAAGACCCTGACTTACCAATGATATACTAACGAACAAAAGTCTGAGAATAAAATGTTACAACAAATGAGTGAAGCAGAAGTAACTTAAAGTATTGAAAATGCAAAAGGCAACAACACTTTACTTTGGAAGCAATTTAATAAAATACAACCATATTAAGAAGCATTAGAAAACTTTCCATACATGGCATACATATTACAAATAGTGCTGTCATGGCAAATAAATGTTATTTCTTATGTTTGATGGTCAGTTGAAGAACTAAGCAGACATGGCATCACCTGAAGATATTAATTATCCTGACCAGAAGGCACCTGTTGTCTGTTTTTTAATTAAACCGGTTGAAGAGACAAATGTGCAAATAATCACAAATTTGTCTAACTCGAATTGTACTTATCACCTTAATTGCATCTTTCTAAACAAGTATATTAATGTTCTAAACTATTGACACATTTTGTCAGTTTGTCCATTAGTACTTCTAAATTGTCCTCAGGATGTACATAAGTTTTGTACCAATAATTTCAGAAGGAAGACAGAAAGACTATTACCGACCCACATCACTTCTACCTCCATTACCAAAAGTTATTGAGAAAATATTTGGTACACGGTTGACTGATCATTTGGAAGCCAATCAGCTAATTTCATAATCAAAACAATAAAGAGAAAACAAAGTTGTTTTAAATTAGACTTTACACATTACATTCCAAAACAGGCTGCCCTCCTGCATGTTTTGTTACTTTCTCACATATCATAATTACAACATGACAACATGAGCTCAGACCTTAGCCACAAACTATTTGGCTTCACTGTAATATCAAACAATAAAAGTTGTGGACAAAACGCCAATCTGATTTAATCACTACCGCATTCTTTAGAAACTTAAATTCCTTCTCTTTGAGAGCTTTAGTAATTTATAATTAATATTTAAATGCTTACACACATTTATTAAGCAAAATGCTATGAAGCTGTGAAGCTCCACTCTGCAGCACTTTGCTTTTTCATACAATTTTTTGCAAAATTTTTAAAATGATTTTGCATACTAGTTTAAGACAATATCTGAGTTTTAAATGTTCAGCTGTGTGAAAAGCTCCTCACTTAACAGTAACCAAATATGTACTCATTTGTGAGTTGCACTGAGTTGTTTGTATTTAGTTTCAGTATATTACTGATGTGTGATATTCTATGTTTATATGTACACACATATAAGCTGTAAGTTAGCTGTAGCTATAAAGTCTTTGCATAGCATCCTGCAGACTGTTTCATGCATTTGGCTGCATTTTCCTGACAAATACATAGTCAAACAAATAAAAAATCATAACTTTGTTTGAATTTATGTCAAACCATCAAAGCAGAAGATTTTACAGTTTACTAAGATGGGACATACATATTTCTTTAAATGCAATGCTTGACAAAGACATAAGCAAAATTGCTGCACATCAGTCTAGGAAGAATAACAAGGCCATTTCCTGACCTGTCTATCAATCTGCAGGCAGGGGAAATTATTTTCAGAACAATCATCAAAAACATTTACCAATCTTCCCAGTACTGGATTTTCAGAAAATCCATGATGAGACCAGAGTTTACATTGCTTACAGAGATACTGGAACAAGTAGACATGTGCTTCTTACAGTCACTTGGACTGAGACAGCCGGTTTGTCTGTATACAAAAATTTGGGGACATATTTTTATAGATTAGACTTTATGTAGACTATGTCCTTATGAAAACAGAAAAAAAAATACAAAAAAAAAACAGCAGATTCACTTAGATAGCTTAAATAGAACAGAATGCCCCAGTGAACGTTCATGCCTAAATTGAGTGAAATGTTTAGGTGGGAAACATTAATGAAATGAAACAGTGTTGGAAGGAAAAAAAACATCCAAGCTCATTTCATAATGAAATGAGAGCCACATAAAGTTAAACTAAAAGGAACTTAAGAGGTAGATGCAGACACAATTGACCTCAACAAGAAAACCTCCAACCAGATGGTCTATGGTGCTTTGCTGTTATTCAGGTAACTGTTGTGAAATAGTGTGCAGAACCATAATAGTAGAACTGACAGCTGAAGCAGTTTGTGGACTGGTGAGTAACTATTTTCACAACTTTAGAGCTAGATTGGGCCAGACCAACAGCATTTTTGGCAAAGTTGTTTGGTGGTGTTGGTTTGAACTTGTGGCAGAAGAATATGTTGGAGTGAATGTAAAAATGTGTTTAAAAGACAAATAGGAGGCTAAATATATTTGAAAAGAATAACAGTGAATGGAAAAGACAGGAGGTAAAATATTTGTACAAAGGCAATGTGTTGAAGACAGTAGCTCTCTCGTCCCTAAACTATCCACCTAAAAACAAGTTAAATTATTGAAATAAATAATTTAAAAGTAGTTTTTTATAAAGTGCAGCACCTAGTGGAATGGGAGACTAACGTGAAGATTGAGACTATTGGAACCTCAGAGGCCATGTAGAAAAGGTCTGCAGGTGTTTAAAGTTTTGCATATCAAAACTTTAAACACCTGCATTACCGCTATCCACAAAACAGGTATATCAACTCAGTCACTCTTTGTATTTACAAGTTTAGAAATGTACAGTAGGGAGGAATAGATAGATGCAAAAAGGTTTAGCAAGAGAAGAAGAATATTCCATAAATGCCATCTTAGTTCCAAGATGATTTGAAGATATCTGTTGTACTTAGAAATAAATATTATGACCCTTTAGGAAATAAATCAAACATAGCTGTTCTCAGAGCAGATGTACTCCTAATAATTATTTTTTGCAGGAACACAGAGCACGTGAACTCTCATCAATGTGCATAAAACCATGTGTTTGATGTTTTACGTTTTAAGCAGATGTTGTTGTTTTTTTGTAAATGTAAGTTGCTGTTTCTTTGTTCTCTATGTCTGTGACTCTTCTTTGTTGCTCTGCTTGCCCACCTGTGTTTCCACTCATTTTTGATAATTAATATTTTCATCTGAACCAGATTAAATCTGAAATTATTATGACAGTCCAACATGAGAAAGCACATGCTTGACTCTCACCTTCTCCTGCCACTGCTTTGTGTTCCTGTGTTTTGTAACACACCACCCTTCTCCTCCCGCTTCCCTTTAGGTTTTGGTCTGCTTTGAGTTACCTGGTCGTTATGCTGATGCAGCTTGGTAGTTTCAAGGTCAGTGTCCCCCTTTGTCCTCCCCTCTCACCAGCTGTTTTCTTTTTGAATCCACACAAGCCTAGTTTTTTTACAGCATTGTAAGACAGTGAAACTTCATGATAGAGTTCCTAAAACATGGGGCTATATTCTTAGTGTCCTTACAAGATGTTTCCATCAAACCCTAAACAGGCCTGCTTCAAAAATATTTTTTTTTTGCTGCTGAAAGTGACCGAGCCAGGACGTGACAGAAATTCCCATATTAGTGAACAGAAGTGGTTAACCCCATTGCTGAGTGTGGTTGTTCCTTTCCCAAGCACTGTAACGGTTCCTCTTCTTCTACTACTTCTGTTGTGATTGGCAAATAAAATAATAAAACATTACCGCTATCCACTGGAAAGAACCAATCAATTATGTGGAGCAAAAAAAAAAAAAAAAAATAATAATAATAATAAAAAAAAACACTTACACTATTATTCAACATACAGTCGTAAAAATAGCATGTGGTAGTTTTTACTTTTAAAGTCTTGTTCGCACAAGACTTTAGAACATTCTGCAGAGAAGTAACAATGGATGGAGCCATTTCCGATTCTACAGTTTATTCTCAATGCGAGCCAACAGCATTGTCACAGGATCACTCACAACATGAAGGAAGCTAATAAAAAGAAAGCTCAGCTCACTAGAACAGCCTTTATTGGAGCATTGACTGCAGCTTCTATAGAGATGACTGGTGGATGTGTAGTCAAAACATGGAGTGGTCTGATTATGATGTGATTTGCTTCAGTGTCACAGACTCCTTTCACCTTTCATAATCATAATATACAATCATTGATTACGTCAAGATTTACAGTGTCTGGCCTTTTCTGGTGCAAAATTATGACAGTTGTCTCACAAACTTTAGTCTTTTAAAGTTAAAAGAGTTGCCTCAGTTTTATCAGAGTGTTTTTAATTTGTGTGTTTTTTTTAAACTGCACAGATCAAAAATGCGTAACTCTCTGCATTGGCTTTTAAAAGAACTGTTAGTGTGTGGAGCAAGACTGACAGCACCGTATTGGGCCTTTCTGAGGATTTGTCCAGTTCTAGGACGGTGACCCTACAGCGGCTGGTCAGTTATTTGATTCAGGCGTGTGGACCAGGAGGGCATCACCAGAAAAGCGAGGTAACACTGTTTAGATAGTTTTTCTTGATGTTGAGCTGCAATCCTTGTCCATTTTGACCAATCAGTCAAGACTGGCAGGCTTGTGCCCTGAACCGGCTTTCTAACTGGAGCATCCCCTCACCTCATCGGGCTTCCAGCATGGTGACCTATCTCGCTTGTTCTGACTGTTTCATACATGGACGATCTGGTAATGATGATGTACCAGGATCAAAGAATTTTGTTTAATTTAATTTAATTTAATTTAGTTTGTTTATTTGAATAGGACAGTGCACATTGATCCATAATATTCACAAACAAAAATCTACTTAACACCTCATTGTATAAGTCATAGGACAGAAGACAGTAACCATAGTTCTGTTTACACAAGAAATAACAGACACAAGCAATCTAGAATAAGACCCTCAACAACAAGCAGTGGAAATTACTATGAATGAGTACATAACTGGTTTGCTTTTGACCAATGTTTCTTTTTTTAAATGATATAGTTATCACTTTCTGTGTCCATTCTATCAATGTGTGCCTCTGATAGATGCCACATTCTGTGCCACATTCTGACTAAACTGTGTTTTGCACCTCAGCATGTTGCAGTCTCTCCTGGTTTATGATCTTTACCGTAGTGAAAAGGGAATGGTTTCTTGTCAGTGGTTTTAATTGTCCTCTTGAAGAGAGATATGATGGATTTTAGTATACGTGCATGATTCCAAGATATTTACATTTGGGAGAGAGAGAGATATGAAATCTCTCTTTCTTTGTTAATGATAACACGTGGTTCCCGGCATTCTGCTTGATGATGAGAAACAAACATGCAGACAGCTATGCAGTTCTGTAGCAATCTAGCTGATTTCTAATCTGGCTTAGAAAACAGTGCGGCTGATGAGTCCAGAACTGTTACTTGTCATTTGAGGCACTTTGGAAATAACATAACTGACTAGTGTAGTAATTAAAAACCTGTTTTTATTGGCAGTGATTATTGGTGACTCACAGACATGTTTCATCAGAGTAATGGATGGAGTACATCTTCTGGTTTGAATTCTGTTGAATGTCTTGCATTTTCTATGGATTTCCTGTATTTACCACCCACAGTCCTAAAACATTTGCATAAAGATTGAATTATTGACACCATTGGTAAATTAACAAGATAATTAAAATAGCCCAAAATAAGGTGAAATGCATATTTCTATAAGTTACAGCCACATTTATTATTATTACTATTATTATTATTATTATTATTATTATTATTATTATTATTATTAGAAATTATTTGTTCCTGACACTTCATAAATACATTTTTATCCTTCTCAGCTTCTTTGTTGGTTAGGGTCACTCTTCAAGAATCAGCTATCGGCTGCTCATCTTACTGCTGCTTTCAATACTAGATGCTTCAGATGAAAACCCAGCTGACTTGATGACAACAACCATGTGCATTATTATAGCTTTTAGCTTCTATCAGCACATGTATTATGTATTATTAATGTGAAAGTTTTTATATAAAATGCATAGCTATATTTTGAAATTTAAAATGTTTTCCACTCTGCAATATTAGCAAATAAATGGCATCCCATTGGCTCTCTCCATTTAATTCATGGGGGAATTGAAGGCTGTTCTAGATGACATTGCCACTTTCCAAATAACAAAAACAATAGAAGTACAGCTAGCTGTGGATGACTGACAGACTGAATTAACACACATTTAACAGCTTGCTTTGCAGCTGCAGCTCACGCTTAAGTTGCTGAATCATTTATCTTCACACATTGGAGATGTTTTGGCTACCACAAACTCCCAACACTATGCCTGGACCCCAAAATGTAATCATGCAGAAAAGGCTAATTTGTATTGCATGCATGTCCTCTATTTAATACTAGCATGTAAAAATTACACTTTTGCCATCACAGTGTGACTAGTATTGCTTATAAAAATAATTAATTGGACTAAGAGCAAGTTTCAGCAACTCAGAGAGAATATAGTGTCATGAGTGGTGTGTTTGAAGCAGGATCAATAGGGGTATTGTCATATGTTTTATGATTGAAAGGTAAAAATGTAAGACAGCTGGGGACCAAAATGAAATGGAAACTATGGGATACAACAGCAGGAACAAGGCACGTGGAAGCCACCATGTAGAAGAGGGAGTAAGTTCTTTGGTCTGATGACACCAAAATGGAATTTGGCCATCAGATAAGATGGTATGCTTGGTGGACACCACACACTGTATGTCTCCACTGTAAAGCATGGCAGTGGAAGCACAACACAGTGGAGAAGCTTCTCGGCAGCAGACTCCGGAAGTCTTGTAAAGGTAGAAGGTGAAATGAATGCAGCGACATACAGGGAAATCCCACAATCATATTTGATAAGTGAAAGCAATACAAAGGGTAAAACATACCGGGAGGGGGGTTGCTTTTTACTTCCATTGTAAGGTTCGTCCATCTTCACATACTCTGACAAGGTTTTCTATCATCAGGTCTAACAATGTGGTTGGAATGTTCAGCGTGATGTGCACTGTCACCCTTCTGAAATCTAACGATCAAGCTGCAATTTCAGTTTTATGAGACTTGAGCTTCACAACGAAGAGTTTCCTGGTAACAGATTCCAGTGAGTCACATATAAATATACTGAGTTAACTACAAGCATGATTCTATTTACTAATTAAATTCCTCTGACAGCTAAACTGAACTTAATTTTCTAGTAACATTAAAGAATACCAATGAATACCTTGAATGAATACCAATGAACACTGCTTTTGTTCATTTGCTTGTTTGGAAAAAAAAAAAACTATTAAACCTTTTTGTTCCACTTTAGACTTCCATTAGATAACATTCAAATGAAATGAATTAAAACAGAACAAAAAGTGGTAGAGTTTAAGGGGTATTAAGCTGATGCTGGCAGCTGAAGTTATTGACTATGTAGTTAGTCAATGAGATTTCATGCATTAAAATACCAACAAAAGATCCAGTCAATATATCTTCTGCTCCATATATTTATGCAGAACTTGTACCAGAACCGGCTCCTGAGCCTGGCTGCTATGGCCTCCCCGACCCGCAGTGGGCAGCGTCGCCAGCGCTGCAAAGATGCAGCGCGTCACAGCTGTGGTCCAGACACGTATGCAATCAACGGTTTGAACCAGGAGCCCTTTATGGTGGGGTTACAGCGCTCCACTAGTGACACCGACCTGGTCTCACCCGACACCCGCTCCACACTCATCATCAGCTCTGCCCACTACACCATAGGCCAGACTGAAGATCTGCTCATCAAATGGGACATCAAGGAGGAAGTGGATGCTGGAGACTGGATTGGAATGTATCTTGTTGGTAAATTAGATATGATACTTATTTTTATTTCCACTATTTCCATTTATTTTGTTCTTATTTATCTATATATTTCCCAAACAATGCCATGGTTAAACTGGCTTGTTTTATTTTGCGTAGGAAATTGTTCCAAAATTCTAAAGACAAAAAATGTTAAAGCTCATAAAACTGTTCATATCTTAGTAAGTTCAGGTGGCATCTGGTGTACAAGAGGGAAAAAAAATGTAAACTGTGTTAGTGGCCGCTCAGTGTGTAATAATCGGTTTTCTTTCTCTTTCTAGATGAGACTCTTTCAGAGAACTTTCTTGATTACAAGAACCGAGGCATCAGTGGATCGCACAAGGGACAAATAGTTTGGAAAATTGATTCCAGCTCCAACTTTAGAAACTGTAAGACAGCTGTGATCCTCAAACTGCAGGTTTAATATTCATTTTCGTCTAGAGACTAGAGAGATGCAATAACAAAAGATGACTTAGAGAAGAAAATTACTGATTAGCATAGAATTTGGAAAGGAGACCAGATAATCATGGAGATATATTGTGGAAGGAGCCAATGGAGACCAATGAAATCAATTGGCTATTCTCTATGTATAGTAAGAAAGAAGTGGAGAAATTACCCGAAAACCAGTGAGCCTAACCAAATGAAAATGATAATAACGAAGGGAGCTATGAGGTGACAGAACACAACTAAAAGCAAGCTAGCAGATGGAAGGATGGAGGAAAAATAAACAGAACAGGAGAAGATTAGAACTAAACAAAGGAAAAATCCTGAAAAGAACACATCTAAGTCTAAATGCACAAATAAGAACCCTAACAGAGACAGGTACAGACGACTGCATTTGCTGTTGCCTGTCTGTTTGGAGTTCTGAGTTCATTTGTGTCAAAACAGTGCAATTAAATCCAAAAGTGATTTACCCATGAGACTAAGTTCTACAGTGACAAAGAACCCTCTACTAGCTGCTTCAGTTTAGGTGGCATCTGGTGTACTTTAGCCTAGACACCAAGGAGGTGTATAATTTATTAAAATGTATGCTTTCACTTGGTGAATTTATCAAGCATCATAGAAGTATTTAATTCTCATGCTAATGATGCTAAGCTATACCTATGTTTAAATTATGATAAATTCCACCAAAACAGCCACCGAAATTACAATGTTTGTGTTTACTGCTCATTAACCCAGATAAACAGAGGATTAATGAAGATTTTTCACAGCTCATGCAGTGCTGTTGGGGCAACTACTGTCCAAGTGTCAGAGTGTGTCTGGTGAAAACAGACAAAAAACCCCATAAAGCTTTACTGTGACCCTAATCTCTCCATGTTCCCCCAGAACTGGGTTTTCCCATTTGCACACAGTTTGCAAATATCTTTAAAGTAGCACAATCACTTCATTTTAATTTGAATATGCAGTTTTAACTCATTTTTCTGTTCATCATTTTTGTGTTTCTTCTGTCTTTTTTGTCACATATACAGACAGTATCAAGCAGAGACCAGTTCAAAAACATTAATGTCTTGTCATGTTTTTTGTCACACAGCTGAGACCCAGGTCTGCTTTAAGTACTACCACGGTGTGACTGGAGCGCTGAGGGCCACTACACCCAGTGTGACCATCAAGAAGGGCTGCCCATCTGTGAGACTTTTTCACCTCATTCCTTTTCATAAAGCGATGCATGTCCAAATTGGCTAGAAGCCAAGCTCCCTATAAACACTACAATAAAACAGTCAGACACATCTTTAAAGAATGTTATTTGACCTAAAATCAGCAGAGTGAAACTGTTAAAGCTGAAGTAGGTAATATTTATAAAATTAGCACTGGAGAGAGCAAAGGGGAGGGTGTGACACAAATGCATGATTGGCAGACCCTCCTCACATCTTTGATTGACTCTTTCTGACCAGGAAAGGAGTATTTCTGCAGGTGGCGGACCACAGGGAGGAGACAGGAGAGATCAATTTGATCATAGGTTATTTTTCTCATATTATACTGTCACGACATAGTGGCAGTTTTAATAAATGTTTTTTTTTAAAAATAACATTTTTGACTTCCGGTTTGCCATGCGGTCAGGGTAGACGTAGCAACGGACGGCTCCGGTAAAATCCAACCTTTTAATTAAACTCACCCCACAGAAAGCTAATTTTACGCCTCCAATTAATATAAAAACTTTTTGGCTAGTGTTTTGATTATATATCCACTAGTAATGGCCGGTAAGAGCATGAAAGGAAGTAAAAAGAGGACGCTAGCTTAACGCTAGAAGCTATCACCGCACTACTTCAGCAGCACGGTGAGGATCTGAAGTCTGAGTTCAGGTCCTCTGTCAACATGTTAAGCTCCAAGCTGGATCAGGTGCGCCAGGCCTTGGAAGAACAGGCTGAACGAGTCTCCTCTTTGGAGCTCGAGGCAGAGGATCTGGGCCAGCTGGTGGCTAGCCTCGAAGACTCGTGTGCTGCTCTCCGTGAAGACAATTCTAAGCTAAAGGACAAGGTGACTGACTTGGAGAGCCGCAGCAGACGACAGAACATCCGTATCCTCGGCCTACCCGAAGACACTGAAAGTGGGCGCCCTACTCATTTCTTCTCCAACCTTCTCTGCAAACTTTTTGGGAAAGAGGTGCTCCCGACCCCACCAGAGCTCGACAGAGCACACCGCTCTCTGGCAGCGAAGCGGCCCGCAGGACGTCCACCTCGCCCGGTGATCCTCCGCCTGCATCGGTACCTGGTCAAAGACCTCATCATCCGGGAAGCCAGGAGGAGAGGAAATTTCGACTACAAAGGTGCGTCTCTTCGTATTGTGGAGGACTACAGCCCTGACGTGCTGGCCCAGCGGGCAGAATATAAGGACGTCATGGCGGATCTCTACAAGCGGGGCCTGAGGCCGGCTCTTCTCTTCCCAGCCCGTCTTCGCATAACGCAGCCCAACGGTGTCAAGAAACTCCTCGGTTCGGTGGAAGAGGCTCAACAGTTCATCAAGAGGCTTCCAAAACCACAGGAAGTCCAATAAAGGAGCAACACTCTGCCGGGGGTTTACTCCAGAAACAGGGTGGGCTGCTTATCTCGGGGCACAGCAGGTACTGTAAATATAGCCTGTTGTCATTTAACCCTACTCATAATGGTGGTTTGGGGTCTGGCCACCGTTTAGCTGTTGCTGGACTTTATGAATGGAGGTGTAGCTTCATTAATACCTGTTTTGTTCTGTCCCAACAGTTTTCAAAGCCTTTTTTTAATACCACTCCCTGTGGTTACTTTAAGCCTTAAACTTTATTGCATTGCTATTTTTTTATAGTGTTCATGGAGGCCAGAAAAAGGTGTCTTCAAAATCTTTATCACTGTGGGGGGTCTACACCTACTCCATGCCTACTAGGAGCAGTGGTTAGTTTGCTATTGTTAAGTCTAGTTCTTATTCTGAGGTTGTTAGCTACTGGAAGATTGGGTCTTTGAGAATGTTAAGTTTGAAGAGCTTGCTGCCACATTGTTGTTTTTTTGTTTGGCAGCTGTTTAGGTTTGGGGGGAATGTTAAGAGGGAGGATAAGGTCACCATCAGAGGTCTTGCAGGTTACTGTAATTTTTTATTTTCTTTTTCATCTCTTTTGTTCCATCCTCTGCCTGCCATATTCTTATCGTACCCGTCAAAGTAAGGTAACACACAAACTTTGAAATCATGAGTCAACACTTGCAATTTTTAAGCTGGAATGTAAAAGGTTTAAACCACCCAGTCAAGAGAAGGAAGGTTTTTTCCCATATTAAACGATTTAAAACGGATGTGGCGTTTCTGCAGGAGACTCACATCAGGAGCTCAGACGGGGGTCGTCTCCTGACATGTTGGAAGGGACAATGTTTTCACTCCCATTTTCAGGTGAAGGCACGGGGGGTCTCTATACTGATCAGCCAGAATACTCCATTCGAGGCCGAATGTGGTAGCTGATAAACAAGGCAGATTTATTATAGTTTGTGGGAAACTGTACGACACCCTGGTCGCCTTGGTCAATGTTTACGCTCCTAATACAAATGATGAGAATTTTTTTAAACAACTATTTTCTTCCCTACCTGACCTTAATAAATATTCATTGGTCCTAGGGGGTGACTTTAACTGTTGGCTGGACCCAGTTTTGGACCGCTAGTCTCTTAAAAGTAATGTCATAAGCAAGTCTGCATCAGTCATCCAAACCTTTTTATCTGAATATGGGCTGTGTGATGTGTGGCGTACTTTAAATCCAGACAAGAGGGAGTTCTCCTACTTCTCACATGTACATAAAACTTATTCGAGAATTGATTATTTTATCACTGATACTAAATGGCTACAGCAGATCCGTTCCTGTGACTATCAAAGCATAGTTATTTCAGACCACGCCCCACTTACTTTGTCACTGTCCCTTCCTCACTTCCCCCTAAGAACTGGACCTTGGCGTTTCAATTCAACCCTGCTGTCGGATGAAAACTTTGTACAGTTTATTCAAGATGAGATACGTTTCTTTTTTGCTACAAACTCCTCCCAAGAGATCTCCAGTCTTGTGGTTTGGGATGCTTTTAAGGCCTATATCAGAGGCCAGATTATTGCCTATTCAGCAAAACTTAAAAAACAGTCCACCCATGAACAGAACAACCTAATTCAACAAATCAAAGAGATTGACATAAAATATGCTCTGAATCAGTGTCCTGAACTGTTTAGAAGACGTATTGAACTTAAAACAAGGCTTGACCTACTGACAACACACTCAGCTGAACGCCTGCTTTTACACAACAAATCCAAATTTTATGTGCATGGCGACAAACCCGATAAATTATTAGCAACCATGCTTAAGGGCTCGAGGGCAAAGCAAACTATTTCTAGAATTCGAAAACAAGATGGCAGTATAGTCACAGATCATTGTCAAATTAATGATGCATTTAGAAACTTTTATGAGGAGCTCTACAGCTCACAATCACAAACCAATCCTAACATGACTGATGATTTTCTAGCTAAACTACACATCCCTGTAATTTCACCAGAACTTAAGAACAGGTTAGATGAACCCATTTCCCAGGCAGAAGTCTCCCTAGCAATAGCTTCAATGCAATCTGGTAAATGCCCAGGACCGGACGGTCTTCCCTCAGAATTTTTCAAACAATTCTCAGACTTACTCTCAGTGCAGCTCAGCTCCACTCTTACTGATTGTTTTAAACACGGATCCCTCCCTCAATCATTTTACGAAGCTTGTATTACACTGATTTCAAAAAAAGGCAAAGATCCTGTGGAATGCGCCTCATATAGACCCATCTCTCTCCTAAATACAGATGCTAAAATTTTAGCCAAAATTATTTCCCGTAGACTTGAAACTGTTCTACCATCAATTATTTCTAAAGACCAAACAGGATTTGTTAAAGGTCGACACTCGTATTTAATGTTAGAGGTTGCTTAATATCATGTATTCCAGTGCCACAGATTCGGATGAGTGTGTTGTCTCCTTGGACGCTGAAAAAGCCTTTGACCGGGTTGAGTTTGACTATCTTTGCTGTTCTTAGTAGATTTGGCTTCGGAGGAAACTTCATTTCATGGATTAAACCATTATACCCGCAACCGTCTGCCGTGGTTCGTACCAATTTTCAGACTTCAAAACCATTTAAATTACAGAGAGGCACCCGGCAGGGCTGTCCTCTTAGCCCCCTGCTTTTTGATCTGGCTATAGAGCCCCTCGCCATTGCACTTAGGACCAGTAAAGAGATATCCGGCATTTGGAGGAATGACATGGAACATAGAGTGTCGCTTTATGCAGATGACCTTTTACTTTTTATTTCCAAACCATCAACCTCACTGCCTTTTGTTCTGGATGTATTAAGTCAATTTGGTCAGATTTCTGGATATAAGCTGAACCTTACCAAAAGTGAACTTTTTCCCATAGGTAATAAAGCTAATACGTCAGAGTTGTCAAATCTCCCGTTTAGAATCGAAAAACAAAAATTCACATACCTTGGCATCACAGTGACAAAAAAACATAAACATTTGTTCAAGGAGAATTTGATCCAACTGTTGAACCAAGTGAAGGGATCCCTTACAAAGTGGACGCCCTTTTCCATGTCCCTTGTGGGGCGTATTAACTCAATTAAAATGAATATACTACCCAAATTTTTATACCTCTTTCAGGCATTACCTATTTTTATTCCTGGTACTTTTTTTAATGAGCTAGACTCAACTTTTTTGTCCTTCATCTGGCGGGGTAAACGCCCAAGGCTCAATAAATTACAACTCCAAAAACCTAAACAACAGGGAGGGTTGCCTTCCCCAATTTCCGGTTTTATTACTGGGCCGCCAACCTTAGATGCTTAGTGTTTTGGTATTTTTGTCATAACCGGGTGGCTGTCCTGACTGAGTGGCTATGGAGCTGCGCAGTGGTAATGATATATCCATCCCGGCTGTGCTCTGTTCCCCACTTCCACTCTCTTCGTCTAAAACCATTTTAAACCCTGTAGTGAAACACTCACTGAAAATTTGGGGCCAGTTTAGAAAATACTTTAAACTCCATGATTTTTCCCTCCTAAGTCCAATTGCAATTAACCACCTTTTTAGGCCATCTGTTCAGGATGGGGTGTTCTTAGAGTGGCACCGGAAGGGGCTTACTCATTTTAAAGACCTTTTCATGGAGAAGAGTTTGGCATCCTTTGAGGAACTTGGCAATAAATATGGTTTACCTAAATCTCACTTTTTTAGATATTTGCAAACCAGAAACTTCATTCAGTCTCACTTATCAGGCTCAGTTTCCCTGCCAGAGGACACTTTATTGGAAACTATCTTATCATTGAACCCGACTCGTAAAGGTATGGTTCGTGGCTTATAGTAAAATGTTGAGTTTGACGGAGACCTCCTCATCTAATCTTAAAACTTCATGGGAAGAAGACTTGGATATTACTATACTGGATGACACATGGGACTCTATACTTAAACTAGTGAATACAACATCTTTGTGTGCACGCCATTGTCTCATTCAGTTCAAAATAGTACACAGAGCCCATCTTTCCAAAAGCAAACTATCTTGTTTTTGTCCAGAAGTCACCCCATACTGCGACAAATGCAAAACTGCCGTAGCCACACTGGTTCATATGTATTGGTCCTGCCCCGCTCTGGGTCACTTCTGGAAAGATGTCTTCCGTACGATGTCTGGTTTGGCCGGAGTGGTGGTGACACCTGGCCCTCTCTTGGCCCTTTTCGGTTTTAGTGGAAAGGAGTTGCCTTTATCGGCTTCTAAACGAAGGGCACTGGCATTTTGCTCACTGCTAGCGAGGCACACAGTTCTGACCAGGTGGAGGGGTGCTGCTCCTACTCATAAACAGTGGATATGTGACCTTATGTCATGTCTGAAACTGGAAAGAATTAGATGCTCTCTTCAAACACTCAACTGGTAAATTTGAAGAAACATGGGGGCCCTTTCTCAACTCTTTTCAAAATATGCAATGATGTTCCAGATCAATTAGGTAAACAAATTTTATCAAACTTTGTTCCATTCTTGACAGGGATGGGAATGTAGTGCATTGGCCTTCTGAGCAGTGACCTGGGTGGGCTGAATGGGATTAAGTTGAGGGATTAATTAAACTTTTTTTTTTTTTTTTTTTTGTTTTCTTTGTTTCTTGTTTTTTTTCCATATATTATTCTATGTAGGATAAACACTTCTTTGTATTCGCAAACTGTATGTATGAATGGAAAGAAAAAACCTAAATAAAAATACAGTGATTAAAAAACATTTTTATGAAAAGTTACTGCAGATTTAACTACACTTGAGGACTGTTGTCAGCTTAGATGCTAAAGAGAAACTTTCAGAAACTTCTTTGGGAATCAGAGAATAGATTTGGCTGAAACCCATAGTATTTAGTTGATGCTTGAACATCCATTAATGGCTGAGTACTAACTGTTCTTTAGATTACAGAGAGAGGCTTTTAATAAAAATAAAAGATTTGTTTGGTTTTTCATTTTAAACTATAGACATTTACACCATATTATCAAAAGTATTCCATCTGAAAGTAGATCAAATGTACTGCAATGTCAAATGTGACTTGACCAATGTATGTGGAAGTGTTTGGAACACCTCAATGCAGTAATTTGGTTTGGTGAATAAATAAGACAGAACTTTCACAGAGAGGCTAATTAGTAACTGATTTTAGAAATTTTTACAGTAAATTCTTGTTGTCCTGTTGTCCTTCAAAAGTTTCCCAGTCAATGAGAGAGTGTTTAGCAGACAATTGAATTTCCATGGTTGCCTTGGCATTGTGCTGCTGTGTGCCTCTGGAAAATGCTGATGGATCCAGAACCTGATCTCTTCTTTCTTCCTGGGAACAGAGAAATATAAATAACTGCAACTGAGGAGGCAGAAAAGACAGGGAGCGAGCAAGCACAGATAGTACCAATCAATCCTGTCAACCTAAGCCTTCCAGTTGTTTGGAGTCCAGGGGCAGACAGCACTGTCTCTTCCTCATCAAAAGATGAAGGAAGATCAGGTGAAATGTAACAGAGATTGAAGAACATTGATCCAGTCTGCTTGACGCTTATTGTGGTTGGTCAGAACCTGTCGGATGGATGGATGGATGGACGGACGGACGGACGGACAGACGGACGGATGGATGGATGGATGGAAAACAAGGATATGCTCATAGTTACTACAGGACTTACTCAAGATTTTCACTTATCCTGCTTTCTGAAACAGGAACCTGATGTCCAATGGCCGTTGTTGTGAATAACTATAAATGGTAAAAAGGTCTGTACTTGTAAAGCACTTTATCTAGGCCAGAGGATCCCAAACTGATTGACACCAAACTGCTTGACACTATATTTATGCATTCACACACTGATGGTGGTAAGCTTCTACATTGCAGCCACAAAAAATGCAAAATAATTGTGGGTGTCATTACTGTATAATTATTGACTAAATTAGTAATTTAATTCACAATTACCAAGTTAGCTGATTATCAGAAAAATAGTAGCCACATAGTTCAGTCTCAGTTATTGTTTAAGAATGCGTGACTGATGAGGTTTTGGTTTTCTAATAATAGATGGCAAGACACTACACATGTATGGAATAAACACAAACACTTTGTCTTCAACATACAAGAGTTTATTAACACAAAGAACTTAGAAATTAGCCCAATTTAGACATACACAAATAAAGCATTCATTAGCCCAGTGTCGTCTCTATGTGACTGGCAGAGAGAAATCCAGTCTGTTGCCTCAAAACAACTGTGTGTACCTTCTTTGGCTTTGTGCGATCATTTTCTCAGTACAGGACCTTTTCATTACAGGTTGTCTCTGAACAATGGGTTTTTATTTTGAGCACAGAAAAACAAGATTGTGAGATGATTTACTCAGATGAGGTGTTCCTTTCAAGATATATGAATTTATTACATTTGCACAGAACAAATCCAATGTCTTGTTAAGACATTCAGGAAGTCATTGAGATCCATCAGTCTGGAAAGGTCTACAAGGCCATTTCTAGACCTTTGGACTACAGTGAGTCATTATCACTGTACTGATAAAGTTTTGACAAATGGCCAAAACATGGAACAGTTGCAAACCTCCCTAAGAGTAGCTGGCCAACCAGAACTGTCTCAAGAGCTCAGTGACTACTCATTGAAGAGGTGACAAAAAAAACCTAAAACTGCAGGCTACACTTGCTTCAGGTAAGGTCAGCAGTTATGTCTCCACCAAAAGAGAGACTGGGGAAAAATGACTACATGACAAAGTTCCAGGAAGAAAACCATTGCTGAGCAAAAATTACTCTAAAGCTTATTCCAGTTTTTCCAGAACACATCTTGATTATTCTTAAGCAAGTTGGCAAAACTTTCCATGGACTGATCTTGTGTAAAAGTAACACCACATTGCAGAAGAAGAACATGGTGGTAGTCGTGCGATGGTCCAGAGCTGTGTTGCTGCTTCAGGACATGAAAGATCTGCGGTGATAAATCTAAGCAAATACCTGCAGTCTACCAAAAATCCTGATGTAGAACATCTGGCCAACAGTTGGTGACCTCAAGATGAAACTACCTTGGATTCTGCAGCAGGAAAATGGTCCAAAATACACCAGCAAGTCTTCCTGTCAATGGCTGAAGACAAACAAAATGAGGGAAACTGACATACAAGATCAACAACCACAAATCCATCCACATACATGCAACAAACAGTAAAAACACCAAAACTAAAATAAATTGTTTTGAAGGGGATTTTTTTTAGCTTTGATGAAATGTGCTATACAAATAAACTGGCAAAAGTTTTTTCACAGGACACTGACACGATATGGAGATGTTCAATTAAAGATGTTACATTTAAAAGGTAGATAGTGTTGATGTGTTTTTTTCTTGCTGTTTTTAGCAAGAATTTTTATTTTCTTGCTGTGTCCCACTTTCATTACTATTAAAGATTTATACATCAGGTATGAAAAGACAGAGCAGGTTTAGTGGAGCAGAAAGAACGGGCGTATGTTCTTGTTCTTCACATAAAGGAACAGATCTTAACTCTTCCCATTTTTTGTGTCTTAAGGTATTAAAGCCTGTGGTTAGCCCTGAAGTGAACCATGGACTGGGGAATAGGAGACTCATTAACTTTTCTCTGTCAGGTAGACTGCTAATGTTGTTTAAAGCCTGTTTTTCTCAACACAACATCCTCATCAGGCCTTTTCTTTTTTCTACAGCATGTATATTTTGAACAGTTGAAAATGTGAAAGGGGTTCCCCAAAATGTGTGTGGTTACATACACAGTAAAAGAAAACGTCTTTTACCAGCAGCTGTGGTTGCTAGTATTTTACTGCAGTAAACATGGCCATACTATATCAGACATTAGAGTTTGACACACTTTTATAACATAATTTGTGCAAAACAGGTGTATAAATACTTTTCTTAGAAACTGTACACTCTAAATACTTGTGTGTGACCCAGCTGTGTTTTCTATACCATACGTACTTAGACAGAAATCTTAAATTGAACTCTTGAGCAGAATCACACTAAACCTTATTGAAATCAAATTATGTCTTAATATTTCAATTGCAGATGAGCTCATACCAGTAAGTTCATAGAGCCTAATTGGCTGGTTTCTGGTCAGTTTGTGGCTGAACACAGTATGATCCTTCTTTTTCATTATATCATTACATCAAGAGATTGCCCCTCTTTGTTTCTCTGTCTGTCTGTGCCCAATGTGTCAGATGTCCAGGCTGTTGGACTGAAGAAAGGAATGTTCTTTAATCCAGACCCGTACCTGAAACTCTCCATCCAGCCTGGGAAGCACAGTATATTCCCCTCACTACCACACCATGGGCAGGAAAAACGCTCTAAAGTGGTGTGCAACACAGTCAACCCACAGTGGAGCTCAGAGGTTTGCACACACACGCACATGCCCTCATCTCTGACAGTGCTTAACATATATGTAAATCAAATGTGTTTAAACAGTAACGTTTTTAAATAGATGACTATGTAAACCAATGGCTAACTGGGACAAGGATTAAATCATAATGCAACAATCAATCAATCAAGTTTATTTGTACAGCATATTTTAGCAACAAGGCAGGTCAAAGTGTTTTACATAATAAGAATGCAAAAATACACAGGCATAGTAAACAACATACTATCTGCAGTTGAGAAAACCAGTAAACATTCCATTTTGATGAATGCATCACCACAATTATAACTATACAATAGGATGGTGAATGTTTTACTTACAATTCAAAAGCAACTTTAAACAGGTGTGATCTTAGTCCAGATTTCAAGGAGGTTCAGCTGTTTCTGAAAGTTTGTTTGAGGATTTGTGTTGCATAGAAGCTGAATGCTGCTACTCCACAGTTGGTTCTGGTTCTGGTGTTGCAGAGCAGAACCCGAACCAGAAGACCTGGGAGGTCTGGAAGGTTGATACAACAACAGCAGGGGCCTTGTGTATTAAGCATGTGTATGCACAAAAAATGTGCGGCACAACATTTTACGCAAAAGTCGGCAGGTATAAAAGTTAACTTTGCGTCACAGTTTGCGTAAATATACGCGCTCTTTTTCCCTGGATTGAAAAGATGCGGCAGCAAAGCAAACTTTTTCTGTGAACAATATCAAACTACAAAATGTCAAAACTCATCTTAATACACTAAAATCTGACTCCATTCTGTAATTTAGACCAAGAAACATCAAACTCGATGTTTCTATTAATTATTGTAATATTTTATTGTTTAAAAGTAAACAATGAAACTGAACATCTTTTCTCAGACAATAACATAACACATTGTTATGCTGTTCTCCATGCTGAGTTCTGGATATATGAGGTCAAAGAAGAGTCAGTAAATTGAATTCATAAATTCCATTTATTGATACCAAAATACAGATGGCCCTTTATGATCTGCTATTTTTAAGAGCTAACAGTCAAAATGGCATTCCACAAAAGTTTCCTTTGTCTCTCTGAGAGACACAGTCCTGGTCTGTCTTCCCTCATCCCAGCTCTCATTTACCTTTCCTATCATGTGATTTCCTTTAGGTTTAGCTTCGCTGTAGCTTATCTACTAGCTAAAAGAGATAGAAGGAAAACACAGCATTATTTATTCTCAACAACACACACAAAATAAAAAAAAATAAAACACAAAAATCTAAATAAAATAAAATGGTAATTTTCCTCACTTGTCTAAAAGATGTGCATAAGAAAATGAAATGCATCTGCGGGGTAATTTAATTTTCACAAAAAAACACGGTTGGATCAGCAGATTAACGCCAAAGAGGTTTGATTATTTTAAGGTGATCAAGGTATGTAGATCACTATGATCAATCAAGACAGAGGGGAAATAAGATGTGTGATATTCAACATTTTGGTCTGATTCAACATTTTAACCAAGCCCCAACAACCAAGGTCACACTCTGGACCTCGTTATCAGGAAGGGTGTGAATATTTCTGATGTCTTTGTAACCTATGTTGCCCTGTCAGATTATTTCACTGTTATCTTTCAAAGCACAATCAACCAATCAATAAAGTAATTTTGTGCACGTAAACATGACTACTGTCTCACACTTTACAAAGGGATTTTCTTTGGTATTTTTGTATCTCTGAACTGTTGAGCAGCTAAGAGTTCCACATCTACACATCTATTTTGGTAAAATACTGTACATTTAAACCAAACCTTTAGGTCCTTTTGTCCTAGTAACCTTCATTGCTTTGCAAAAATATTCATATATGTTGGAAGTTCAAATATTTTGCCATTCACAAACAGTATTTGTTGAATTTTCTTGTGATAGTTTGTAACTAACTTGTGGATAATCATTACCTGTACTCTTTTTGCAATAATACAAATCAAACTTAAAATACATTTGAAGTACCATGTTGTAGGCAGTGCACCAACACTCTCATTGTTCTAAACAGAGATTCAACTTTGTGTCTCTGCCCACTGATGTCCTGGAAATTGAGGTAAAGGACAAATTTGCCAAGAGTCGGCCAATCATCAAGCGTTTTCTGGGGAAGCTTTCTGTCCCTGTCCAGAGGCTGCTGGAAAAACACGCCATAGGGTAACATATAGCACTTCCCCCTGTTTAATGCTTTTTAATCTGAAGATAACGGTCGCGGCTTGCACATTATTGTTTATTTCAGTTTTCCATCTTTGTTTATCTCCAATACTCTTCTAATGTTTGTCTGTGCACAGAGATCGCGTGGTGAGTTACTCTCTGGGTCGCAGGTTGCCAACAGATCATGTTTGCGGCCAGCTGTTGTTCCGCTTTGAGCTGACCTCTTCGATTCATCCAGGTACACATCATCCAGCAGCAGGCAACATCTTTTAATCTTGTTTATAATTTAGTGTTGGGTTTCACTGAGACTTTAAAGTAAACAACAACCTTGCCTAACAATCCAGATTTGTGCGTAAGGGGTGTGTTTAAAAGCTGAGTCGTATAATTTTTACCAACAGCTAAAGTAGCATAGGTCACATAAACATTAGTTCCCACTACAAGAAAAGTATGAGGAGAACAGAGTATCAAACTATCATATATATAAAAAAGTGATCTAAAATAATTTATAATTGCTCCATGTCTCATTATAATCGGAGAGCAAAGCGTGCAGGTTTAACTTAGTCCCAAAAATCCTTGTGCATTCGTAACCTGATCTGTGCATAAATGCACCTTTGTGTTTGTGTACCAGGCGACTTGTGCATACTTATTTAAATTTCTAGGTGTAGAAGAAGGTTTGTGAGGTTATAGTTAAAAAGTTTGTGTGTAGAAATTTAACGTTTGCAGAAATTGTAATTTTGTGTGTGTGTACTTTCATTTTGTATTAATAATTTCTTCATATTTGTGACCACATATTTACAAGGACCCGAAATTATGCACAAATATTCTTTTTACGATACAACTATACAAAGTTACACACAAAGATGCTTATATGAGTTGGAAATTCAGTATTACTCACGCACATATATTGTTACAACACTCACAAGTATTTTGAGACTATTTTCATGCCGTAGGATGCTCACTCTATAATAAAGAAGCCTCAATCATAAAGAAGCCCCTCTAGTCTTGTTGGCGAAAATGAAATTTGCTGAGAGATTTTAAAACTGCAATTTCAAAACTGCAATTTCAACCGCACGTTGATTGGAAAGAAATTACCAATTCAATCAGTTATGCTGTCACTATCACAGAAGATGTTCCTGTACAACTATGCCACTTATAAAAGAGATCAAAGTATAATAGTGTATGATGAGCCAGATTATCGATGCAGCTCTGATTCATCAATGGCTAACTGTACATTTAATGAACTGTTGATTTTGCCTGCAGATGATGAGGAGGTTTCTTTGGTCATGGAGCCAGCTTGCAATGAGGTGGAAACCCCTGCTGAAGGGAACCATGCAGCTGATGCACCAGATGACGACACACTGAGTGTGAGGCTCGATATGCCAGATCTCCCTCTGGACGCCTCTCTGGACACCGACACCTCAACACCAGCAGCACAGAGCCAGGACATCCCTCTAACTGATCGCCAAGAAGACAGCGGGGCTGCAAAGATGGAACCAGGAAGAGTGGAGGAGCAGAGCACAATTAGGGATGAGACCTCGGCTTTACAGCCTGAGGGAGAGCCAGAGGATAGGGCCTCACCTGAACAGCAGGAGGGCAATGGAGAAGAGGAGCAGGGAGGGGAAACTGGCGAGGAGAGCAAAGAGGCTGAGGGTGCAGCCCACCCTGAGTTAGACTCAGACTGCCCTACAGAGGCAGAGACTAATGGAGGGGCCACTGGTGTTGCTGTATTGGCTACATCTGTGGAGGCAGCTCCATCACAGGAAGAATGTGTAGACTCTGCCACAGGAGCCTCACAGGAGCCCAGTGAGAAAGGAGAAAGCAGCTGTGAACCGTGCTCCTGCCAGTCTCTGTTCTCCAACTGCAACTTCCAAGCTCCGTCACGGCGTAAAGCTCGGCCCTGCTCCCTGCCCGTGTCAGAGCTGGAGACGGTGATCGCCTCGGCATGTGGGGAGCCAGAGACGCCAAGATCACACTACATCCGAATTCACCACCTCCTGCACAGCCTCCCATCAGCCATACCTCCCAGCCAGGAAGAGGAGGGGGAGGTCACCAACACCACTGTGGACTCTAATGCTACATCCCCAACCCTGAAGAGCTCCAAAGAGGAGGAAGAGGAGGAAGAAGAGGAGGACACAACACAGTCCCCATCTCAGGTGAAATTGAATGAAGTTATATTTAAAGGAGAGCTCAGGAAAGCAACATGCAAAAGCCCCTATTGGACTTCAGTGCTGGGGCCAGGCTGAGCATAAGAACAGCATGTGTTGTTATGTTGAGAGGGTGGAGTAGAAGATGGGAGGGAGGGGCTGCCCAAGTGAACGATGCTGCCACGTGGGGCATTGCGTCAGCCAAGGTTGCCATACTCTGGGAGGCAAAGGATAGTAGGTTCTAGTTGAGGGTAGGGGGATGTTTATATCTATTCATGCATTTGTAAGTAACCCCTCCTCCACCTCCTCCACCATGGTTCTTGTTAGGTGATAGAGTGTTTATCTACAGCCTCAGAAGAGCGCTGATTTAGGTCTATAGATGTCATAGGAAAGGGAACGTAATGGGAGCAGAGCATCTTGTTTACATAACATCACGCAGAATTTGAGATAGCCATCCATCTAAGGCTTACACAGGGGGAGCCAGTTCAGATAACAATCGTTTTGGGTCAGACTGGCTATGTTAATTTTCCATCTACCTTAAAGTTTCACTGATAAATCTCAGTGTTGACTCCCAAACAGCCAAATTTCTAGTTAGTCCAGCCGAGCCAAGCTTGTATCTTCACCAAAGTGTGTTCCTTCCTGCCAGCGAGTTTCAGGTGCCACAATTGGTCTGCGACTCTCAGCAAGAATCCCTTCCAGTTTGCAATTCTGCTGACAGTTTCTGAGTTTAAGTGTTCACATCATGGAACATTCCCTGGTAGCCTGGAAGCTTATCAATGGTCCCAGTAGTAATTTATCATATATCATACTAACTTTCTATTCTCTAGAATAAAATATTTTTGTAGTGTGGTTATAACTAAATAGTTAACTATCAAATCCAAAACGGAAAAATCCTATTTTATAGCTATCTCCAACATCCTTGGCTGACAATATGGACAGAGAGTCTTCCACTTCCCCCCGGGATCCATAATGTATCCAACAGCACGTGTCACGTTGGGGCAACAGGGCTCTCCTTTGGTGATTCTTCTTGTCAAGAAAATTAGATCAATTGTATTGAGAGATCAGCGTAATTTGCAATTTTGAACGTATGCAAAGAGAGACTCCAAAAGAAAGACAGCACAAGACACAGAGCAAAAGCAGGGCAATCAGGTAGAGAGAACAGAAAAAAAGTGTCTGCCTTCACCGAGAGCATAGTGCTTACATATATTATATGTAATGTGGTAACATGAAATTGTTCAAGCAGTACACCTAACTTCACAGTGTTTTCTTACACTGTGAAATAACTTCAGGCTCTGTTTCTGTTCATGTAGGTCCCAGAGTGTCCAGGGTCATTCTGCCGGCGCTCTCTGCCCCGTAGCCTTTCCATTGAGCGCCTGTCTGAGCTGAACCAGCTGCTGGAAGGTGAAGGAGGACGAGGAGGACATGCAGTAACAAGAAGGATCTCTCAATCCTGCTTAGATAGTGAAGAGGGGGATTCTAACCTTGAAGGAGGGCCCAGGATGTGTAGCAGGACCCATAGACCTCTGGGCGAGAACGAGTGTGAGTTCTGTGACACATCCTGCTACAGCACCTCCTGCTACAGTACCTCCTGCTACAGCACCTCCTGCTACAGCAATTCAGGTCACGAGGGGAGGGGCCGCTTTTGCAGCTACAACCGCCTGACATCACTGGACAGCAACCGGCTCTCCGGCAGCACAGTCTTCTCCTCCCAGGACGAAGAGGAAGATGAGGAGAGCGCCTTTGAGTCTGTTACCAACCCAGTCCAGAATAACTGTCAGGATCCTGTTGGGGACGGGGGAGAGAGGAGGACTGGAAGATGGAACGAGGCTAGAAGAGTGGAGCAGGGAGAGCCAGCAGAGTCCGGACCCATTGGTGAGACTTAACATGAGTTTCTTGTCACCTTTTTCTGCTTTATTCATGAATTTGGAGTCGATCAAGCTGTCTGAATTTGAATTAGAATAAAACAAAGGAGGGGACAGGTGAGTGATTTCATAGTGGCTGTTTCCCTGCAGATTGTAGTGAACAGCAGAACCTGTCAGCCTACTTTGTATCAAATCAAAATATAATACTAACTTTCTATTCTCTAGAATAAAATATTTTTGTAGTGTGGTTTACAGTTTTACACTGTAGATCAAGACAGTTTCTAAATTTGTAAATTGTGTGGACTTTGGCTGCTGGCAATATAAAGGCATTTTTCCATGGATTTTGCAATTTTTAAGATTTTTACAAGAAATTTCTCTGTCTCCTACTTTCCATAACTGTAAAAAATATTTCCAATTTATGTTTCTTAAGTTATGGTAACTCATTGAATATTCCATGGTAATATGTTTTCCAGTCTTTAATTGTTGGTATTTTACATTTTTTTTTTATAGTTTTTTACTGTGTACCTAGTTTCCAAGTGTATCCCCTGCAGAAAGTTGAAATATTAGCAAAGCTGGAGAGTAGTAGGAGAATGTTGCAGAGTGAGGAAGAATAGAGTGGTCATAATATCCTCTAATAGCCTAAGTAACAGCAGAGATAGTTCAGGATAGCCTTAGCCAGTCTAACTATTAGATTTATCAAAAGGGTTTAAGCCTAGTATTAAAATAATTCAGCGTGTCTGCCTCACATACTAAGACTGGGAACTGGTTCCACTGGAGAGGAGCCTAATAAAGGATCTGTTAATATTCTACTTTTGGAACTTCTACACTGGTAAACCTGCAGTCTGAGAGGAAACGGTTCTGTTAGTAACACTAACTGTTCAGTTTTTTGTGTGGGTTAGAAGTGGGGCTGTTAACACCACTGTACATCTAAGTTTGTTGCTTGAGAGTTCTTGTTCTGTTTCTGCTTGTGGTCATTCATCTTCTCCTCATTATTGGAAGACTTCTTGAGTGCTACAATCATCAGATTGCATGAATTACATGTATGAATTACATTCATCCGCTTGTATAATTGTTCCCATTTCCCCCAGTTTGAGTACTCTCATTCCCATACATACCCCTGGTCACATATCCTGCTAGAAATAATATTATTGGAGCTCTTGGAAAAACTAATAGTTTTAGTGGGCATTTTGTCACCATATTCAGTGATAATGGAGGAAGGAGTTTGTTGAGTTAAGATCTTCATGACTTCCAAAATACAGACCCGATCCATGTAGCAAATGCACCTCAGAGGTATTTTGAAGGGCAGTTTGTTACAACTTTGGATAATTTTGCAACTGCAATATGTATTTTCTTTAGGTGTTTGAGAGTAGCACTAAATATGCAGACCAAAAACGCATATCAAAACTGGACACATTTACATAATTGTAATAAACTTGTCGCACCTTTCATTAACAACATTGAACAAGAAAATATATAATATTTTAAATAACTAATTTATTAATAGTAATCCCCAACCATATGTCTCTCTGATGTCCTGTAGGCTCAGATCTCTCCCCTCCTGTTGGCCATCTTCCAGTACTGCGATCCAGTCATGACTCAAACCATTTTCCTGCTGCCACTGACCCAGCCTTACCTCCAAGTAAGAACCCAGAGCTCCCACTCTTAATCTGGAGTCTTATCCTAAATTCCTGGTATGCTGGAAAATGTGCCTGCTGCCTGTGTGTTTATCCCTCTCCATTTCCTCTGTGTTTCACTCTTTTTCCTTCTCATCATACATCCTCCTACAACAATGCAAATAGCTTCATTCTGCTCACTGCTTGGAAATTTTACTGGTCTTATTAAGGAGTTTGCAAATGTCTGGACCCTGAATTAAATGTGACCAAGAAAGCAAAACTGTAATGCAAAAGGACATTTGTCATTCAAGTCCATCTTAGTGGTGAAGTAACTTTGTGTACAGAATAACTCAGCTTGGGCGTGCTGTGGTGGCGTAGGGGTGAGGGTTTGCACAACCCGCAATGGAGGCCCCGGCGACATTTGCCATATCTCTTTCCTGTCAGCCTACTTTGAAAGAAATACGGGGCACTAGAGCCAACAAAACCTTAGAGAAAAAAAAAATACAAAAAAGAAGAACTCAGCTTATTGCTGTAAACATGTAGATTTATGTTTTGGTCCAGTCTTTGTAAAAGATTTTCTGCAGTGTTAATTTCAGTGGGCCCAACATTTCTCCTGCCAAGCACTTGAATCAGATTTCTAGCAGACAAATAGACTATTTAAACCTTCATTTTAACAGAAGCTGGAACTTTAAAGGAAGAAAGGCCAGAAACCAAATTGTTTCTGAATTTACAATATCTTTTTAGAATTAATATCAATAAATAATTAAATAAATCTTTGAAAACACAAATTTAAGCTTGAGATTTTAGCTCCATTTGGCAGGATGTCAGACTGAATTAACATTGTTCCTCAAAATCTCAAATAAATGCAACCTGTAACATAATCTGTTTCACTTAAAGCCAAGTTAGGATTAAGTTCTAATCCTAATTTAAAATTTAAAAACTTACAAAACTCTCAATCCAGAGTAGTCAAGTCATAATATTGAATCAGGGCTTTTCTGGTCGGTTGTCTTCAAAGTTTGTGATGTTTAGGAACAGCAGTGTTCCAGTCCAGCTCAGTGGAAAGAAATTCAGAACCAACAACTGGATTTCAATTAGGTTGGTTGTCTGCTTTCTCTGCCTTCTCTGTTGCCTCAGACTGGGAAGCTCGTGTTGACAGCCATGGCAGGGTCTTCTATGTCGATCATGTAAACAGGACCACAACTTGGCAGAGACCAAGTAATGGTGCCAAGTGCAACCATGGCTTCCCTCGCTCGGGTTCTACACAGCAAATGGAACAGCTCAACCGGAGGTACACTGGGCAAAATTTATGCTCTGTCCTGCTTAAATGATATGTGCGTTAACATATAAGATGACATCCTAAACTGTAGTAAGAAAAAAAGATTTTTAAGCCTGAGAGAAATTTTCACAAACTTTACTGCTTCATTGTAAATTTTTTTGTATGATGTTTTAAAGCAGGACTGTCAAACTCCAGCCCTCGAAAGTCAGTGTCCTGCAACTTTTAGATGTGTTTTTGCTGCATCACACCTGAATAAAATAATTAGGTCATTAGCAAGGCTCTGGAGATCTTGTCTACACAAGGAGGAGGTTATTAAGCCATTTCATTCCAGCGTTTTGTACCTGTGGCACATCTAAAAACTGCAGGATATTGGCCCTTGAGGACTGGAGTTTGACATCTGTGTTTTAAAGAGTTCTTTGAAAAAAAAACTTGAAGTAAATTTCTTGTGTTTTTATTATTATAATCTTGTGTTTTTCTGAAAAACACAAGATTATAATGGTTTGGCACCATTCTCATATCTCATATTTACAAGCATGAAAAACTGACCTGCAAAAAGAAATCCCTCAGGATGAATGGAATAACTCATGTCTATTGGCACAATCCCAAAATGTTAACACAAGGTTTAGACTATTTTCTTGTGTAGTTTATTTTGGGTGGTGGGAGGGATTGCACTGTATGTTTCTTAATTTTTATCTTTTTTTGTATGCCTGTTTAGCATAAAATTCTAATAAAATTTTTTGACAAAAATTCAAATAAAATTTGCCTCATTCTCACCCTTCTTCACAACAGATCAGTGTTGTGCCAGAATTTTCTGTGAACAATAAAACATTTTTGTCTATTATTTTCAACTTTTCCCATCTGAAATTTTACCTGATTGGATTTTTCTCTTTCTATATTATTTTCATATCATTTTTCATCACAAAAACAATCTCTATCTGTTTTGAATAAAATAGTTTATATCAATGAAATGATTGCTTATACAGAAAGATTGACTTGTAATTAAGAAGCAAACCCTTAGTCAGGAGACGACTTTACATAGCAGGTTGTTGCTCTGAGATTTGCTGTATGTGAGAGGCTGTAAAAATCACCTTGATTTAAAGCAGACCTCACAATATACTCAAAAGGGATCTGTCACAGGAATGATGTAAAATGTGGTACACCATTTAATTTGATAACAAAATAAATACCCAACCACTCAGTATAAAATTTGTTGATTTTTAGCAACAATGATTTATTCAAAAAAATCTGAATACTGAGAAATAATAATAATAAGAGTTAGATTTAAATCACTCAGTTTCTATCAGCAAAAAACCTAAATAATTAAATGTCCAAAAATCTCAGTTCTCTTTTAAAGAGAATAATGTCTGCAAAGGAGTTCCATATCCTCAAAAAAACAGAACAAAGCACTGGAAGTATTTCTCCGTTTTAATCCAAAGTCCCAATCCAAAATGAAAAATCCCAAATGTCAAAAACTCCCCAAAAAAGATAAGAAAAAAGAGTGGAACCACCAAAGATCCCAAAAAAGAAAAGTAAAGTCCTGATCTCATCGGGAACAACTTTATTTCCCCTCGGTCCTCTTGCACTGGGCGGTGTTTCCTGGGTGCTAGCTCCAATCCGATTTCTAAATGCACGATCTGCAGCCTGGTGCGAACTGTTTATTGTATTTTCTTAGATTTTTTTGAAAACTCGTTTATAAAAACGCACACGTCCCCTTTTGTATTTACTAATTTCAACCACAATTTTAAACAGTGAAAATACGGAATAATATTAACAATGAAAAAACAGCAACTGTTCTAGAAAACATTGTGATACATTTACTTTTTAATGTACTTATTCAGAAAAAAAACAAACATAATGGTTATGTTACAAGCCTACCATTTTTTCTCTGAAGTGCTAACCTCCACTTAGCTTCTGGTGTTTCTTATTTTAGGTGAACTGCCCAAAATGCTTTAACCCATTCCCACCCACCTGACTTTTGGTCCTTTAATTCATCCCTTCACAGTGTACATACCATTCTTTCTGCTTCTGACGTGAAGCTATGATTCTCTCATAGATACCAGAACATCCAGAGGACCATGGCCACAGAGGAGGATAGTGGGAGTCGGAGTTCAGACGGTGAATCAGAGCCTGCTCAGACAGGTACCTCTTTCACAAACCTGTTTCACCAGCAGCCTTGTACATTCTGCGACTCCTTCTCTCATTCTCTGTGCCGTAGCAACTGCCACACCAGCGTCTGTGCTGCTCGCTTCTCCTCTTAGGTCCACACTTGTACAAGGGTTTGCTTGATGAAACCCTTTGAAATTTAAAGTTTGAATCGCCAAAGCTAACTCGTTCAGAATTAACTAACCCGGATAGACATGAAGATCACTTGGCCTTTTGGAAGTTGAAACCAAAGCAACATTTAGTGCTTTTACTAACTTAAAATTAATTGTGTTTATTTCTAGCACAGCAGAAGTAAAGTGTCACTAAAGGAAAGTTGTCTTGAAGAATTATAACAACTGTCAGTTTTGGCTTCTACATCAGCAGAACTTTTGGGGTTAGAATTATTTTGGTTTGCTTATTGCTTACCAGAAACATGTACCAAACACAGTGCAGCCATCATTCTTGTTCATTACTAAAGAATAATAGTTCTCTTTTTTTTTTTTTTTTTTTTTTTTTTTGCAGCTCCTTCCTCCCCAGTCAATCATAAGAAGATCACATATCTCCTTCAGTCACCAGCTGTCAAGTTCATCTCACACCCTGAATTTTTCACTGTGTTGCACAGCAACTATGTGAGTACTTCTTACACACGCACACAGCTTTTTGTGGAAATGAAATGTACACCATCTTTGAACTTATCAACAGAGATATTCAGGCATAACTCACAACATCATGTTTGAAGAAAACTTAAACACATCCAGAGCACCTTAGGAATAGCTAATGCTCAAATTAGCTCCACTTGAAAAAGTAGAAGCCATGGCTATATTAACAAAAACAACTAGCAGTTAAAACTATTCCATCAGTAACTTCACATTTTTTGTCTTTGGATTAGTTTCCTTTAAGTAACTTTAGTCTTGAGGTAATTTTCCTCAACAAGCAGAAGATAATCATTAAGACTAGGTTAGTCTCGGTTTCTAACAGTGGTGTACCTTGTTGCTATTTGAAACAGTCAGTTGAATAAAGTTTGATATTCAACTGATATTCAACTCTGATATCCGAAACAGAGGATATCCGACGTTTATATTCATTAAGTAGACGTTTATATTCATGCTCTTTTTTGAAGTCTGTTTACTCAGCAAGTCTTTCCTCTCCGCATGTTTTTTTGTTTTTTTTTATAAATCTTAATGAGTAAGTGGCAAGTATGCAAGAAACAAATGAGTAATGCAGTAATACAGTTACAACAAACGATTAACATTGTTTGTTCATGAAGTAAGGTTGTTAATTAAACAAATACACCAAAAATTCACATGAATTGTTTTGAAAGCCTCACTTTCTCCAGCCATGATTCAGTGCAGCTAATTGTATTAATTTTGTACCCAGAATGCATTGTTTTGGCGAATATAGAGCTTTCACATTATCTTCTGCCAAATATCACATTAGTATTGACCCTAAGCAATGACTTCACTTAATCCCACAAGGCACCATGACTTTGTAAGTGAGGAACAGTGAAATCAACTAAATTAAAGAGATATTAGTTGGTTGTTTTTATGACACGACCCAGAGTGGGTCGTGTTCCAAAGAACATAACTTCACATACAAAATGATCAATAGTGTGTTTGCAGATCTAATGTTTATGATCAGTGCATTAGGGTTACAATAACTAACTAATTACTAGTTATCAGTGACCACCATTGTTTTGTTTTGGGGTTTTTTTGTTTTTGTTTTTTTCGCATGTCTACATCTTGATTTTACAAAACAAAAAACTATCTAACACAGGTAGTGATCACACAATTATAGAACTGGAAACATACAACTTTCCTTACAGTCACTTTCTTAGTATTTCTTACTGGTTTCCTCCATAGGCAGCTTACCGTATGTTCACCAGCAGCAGCTGTGTGAAGCACATGATCCTGAAGGTGCGTCGTGATGCCAGAAACTTTGAGCGCTATCAGCATAACAGGGACCTGGTGGTCTTCCTTAACAAGTTTGCAGACACACAGCTGGAGCTGCCAAGAGGCTGGGAAATCAAGACTGACCCACAAGGAAAGGTAGACCACCCCCTCTCAAATTTCAGATTTTTGCCTTTCTGTCACACTTTAATGTTTGAGACCATCAAACATTAAAGTACATTTCAAATCCAACAGCCATAACCCAAATGTAAAGCACTATTTTGTATTGATTTCATTTATTAAAGAAAAAATCTTCCTTACACTATGGGAAACAATGATTGCCTCCTTTGTTAAATTATTAATGGACTACAAAAAGCATGTTTGATGGGTTTTACAGAGCCTTGCAGCAAGAAGGTTTGAATCCCAGCCTGAGTCTTTCTGCATAGCTTTTGTATGTTCTGTCTGTGTACACAGGCTTCCCACAGAGTGTGTGTGTGTGTGTGTGTGTGTGTGTGTGTGTGTGTGTGTGTGTGTGTGTGGGGGTGTGTGTGTGTGTGTGTGTGTGTGCGTGTGTGCGTGTGTGTGTGTGTGTGTGTGTGTGTGTGTGTGTGTGTGTGTGTGTGTGTGTGTTCGCGTGTGTGTGTGCGTGTGCGTGTGGGTGTGTGTGCACTGTTGTGTATTTCTATATTCTGTGCCTTCATTATTGAGGTAGCTTATCAGAGCTATAGCCGCAAGGTGGAAGCAGCAGAAGCCAAACCCATAAAACCTTTGGGGTGTCATGGTTTGATGGACAGAGTACTTCAAAGACCTCCTCAAACCCAACAGCATATCAATAACTCTGAGTCCATTGAGGAAGCTAAGGACTTTGAGTTGGGCCTCCTGGATGCCTCTGTGGTCAGAGGCATCCAGGCCTTGCAGCAAGAAGGTTTGAATCCCAGCCTGAGTCTTTCTGCATAGCTTTTGTATGTTCTGTCTGTGTACACAGGCTTCCCACAGAGTGTGTGTGTGTGTGTGTGTGTTGTGTGTGTGTGTGTGTGTGTGTGTGTGTGTGTGTGTGTGTGTGTGTGTGTGTGTGTGGGGGTGTGTGTGTGTGTTCGCGTGTGTGTGTGCGTGTGCGTGGGTGGAGGCCAGAGGAAGACCCAACCTGGCCCAAGAGGCTGAGGAGAGTGTTTCTGACTTCCTCCTGAGGTTGCTACCTCTGTGACCCAAACATGTGTATCATCGAATGGGATGGGAGTCAAAGTCCCAGCTGCATGATATTTAAATCTAGTCTCGCACCACCAAAACTAAGGGAACACGTCTTGAAGCTGCATGGAGAAGGGGAAAAGTAAAAAAGTGTTTTGTGAATTCAAAACGACAAAAAAGAGATTAAATTTAAAAAAGTAAAAAATGAAGTTATTATAAATTTTAAAATTCTTTTAAAAAATCAAAATTTATGTTTAATTAATAAAATAGCAAAAAAAATAAATAAATACTTTAATATATTTCTGGGGGCTGAAATACTTCATTCACTCTCTACTCTCTCAGTCAGTAATTCCTCTTCTGAGAGGGGAGATGAGTGAATTGAGTTTCCTTTATCTGCTGGGATTTACCCAGTCCAGAACTCAAGTAAACTCTGTTTAAGCTGGTTTTGACAAGAGACTCGCCTGGTTTCTGATGATCTACATCCAGATGTCCTACCCTCTTCCCCCTGTGAATTAGCCAGACTGAGCAGCCTGCAGTCAACTAGTTTCACAGAGCACATGTGAAATGGTCGCTCCTTCTCTTTTTTTTACAACTTGCACTTGTTACCGAACCAGGTTAGTTTAAGTGACTCAGGCGAGTCCCAAGGATGTTGTTTTAGATTTGGGCTAACGCAACCTATAAAACATTTTCTACTTTTTCTTCCCCAGAATCAAACATCATAGCTATTTTACTACCATCACAGAACTTTGAGGTGACTCATGGATTGAATGTCCACAACATCTTTTAGATTTTCTTTATGCAAAATATTTTATTAGTAAAGCAATTTTGCAAGAATCAGTGCAGCTTAATTAAGTAGCATAAATAATGAAGTAAGTAAAATCAATCATCTGGCCTATCTTTCCCTAATGCTGATACTAAGAACTGTAAAGGGGACCTTTTGAGAGAGACGGGCGAAGTATGGTGTTTCAAACCACATAACTGGCTCGATGATGAAGAAGGTGTTGCAGCAGGAGGAGGAGGTTGATTGACGAAGGCAGGAATCTCTATTGGTCTGATGAGCTGTCATCTCTGCATCGATGGTGAGGTCACACAGGACTTTATCTTTGCCTTGATCTTCATCTTTGACTTGGTCTTCATCTTTTCCTTTGGGGTCTTCATCTTTGTCTTTGGGGTCTGAACCCAGCCGATGAGAGAAGTGCGATTTGAAGCCACGGTTGCGGTTGGTCCCCATGCGCAGGACAGTCTTCGGCTCTGTGGCCCCGGCTCTTCTTCAGCTGCAGAGTTCTTTGTCCATCTCGATCTTGGCTTGAAGCTGCCTGGAGGATCCAACCAAAGATTCCTCTTTTGCTCTGCCCTTATATAGCGTTTATCTACCCTTATGGTGTATTTGCATTGGCTAACACTGTTGCTGTGCCTGTTTGGCTGACTGCTTGGACAGATGATCTTATGTCCACCGCTGTCTTAGAGACATTATGTCCTGATGTCTTGGCTAATGTCTCAGGGTTGCTCAACATTCCTCCCTTTCTCTGTCCTTTCTCTGACACGTTTAAGTTGTTCAACAATCTATGTCCTAATAAGGCATTGGTCATCTCTGCTTTCTCGTTAGTCCTCATTTTACCCCTAACCTTTCACCTACTATCTACATCCAACACATCATCAGTAATCTTTAATAGCAGTTACACATTTTACACCATTTCAAGTTCAATGTCAAAGTCACATTCATAACCCTTTTAGTTTCTTTGATTTAGCATTAATTTATAATTTTATGATAACCACAACTTATTACTCTTATTATAATCACAATGTGAGTTATTACAGATGTTCTGAAAAGAAACCAATAATAATCTATTATTGTAATTATTTGATACCAAAGTTACAGTTACTTGTTTTACTTGTAAGTGTTTCCACAAATGTAAGTATTGTTATACGTAAACCAATATTAATATAATACTATACTTTAAATCTTATCTAATTACTCAAAATGTTTAGATTTCATTCTTTAAAACTTTCAAGCTTTGAAACAAGGAATAGTCTCACCTATTTTTATACATCTGCAAGCTGGAAATTTACTCCCTCTTTTTCCAGGAAACCTGCTCTTCCTGTCTTATCTCTCTCTCTGACTATGTTTTCTTATGGTTAGATAGAAAAAGGAAGTACAATTAAAGCTAAGTTTGCAGGAGACAAAAACAACACACACCACCAGATTTATTTAATTGAAGTTTAAGTCTACTGTTGGATCTAGATGTCACTTGTGTGATTAATTTTAAAGATAACTTTATTTATTCTTTCTTTCTTTACTTTATTCAACAGACTCATGGTCCACAAGATACACAACAACACAACATAAAAAACAAGAGAAAATGAAAAAATTAAATACAATAAGTAGTCATAAAAAATATAAATATAAATCTTATAGGAGACTTGTATACCAATGTTTCCAAAGAGCCGACTGGTATCTTAGCGCACTAACAGAAGGCTGTGAGAACATTACAAGAAGATTGTTCGGTGAGTTACCCAAACGACACATAAACTTGTTGTATCAGATTTCTTAAAAGGGCCTGAAATGTTCTGACATGTGCGTTACAGAACATTTGACTTGCACTGCTGAACTTGGGTTTCTTGATCAAAATTCTCAAAGAGTCATTATAAGCAACCTTAAGCTTCTGCATACTAGTTTTTTTAAATTTCCACCACAAAGGAGCTGTATACAAGGATGTACAGTAAGCTTTAAACAGGCTTATTTTTATCTCATCAGAGCACATATGAAATTTCCTCCCCAGAACGTTTGCCTGGGCGTATAACATGCGACACTGCCTATAGATGTCATCATCATCAGAGAGCTGGTCTGTGATGTAGTGACCCAGATACTTAGTTTTGGAACAAACATCTAACTTTTGCCCTGACAGAAAAAAATCAGGGAAACAGAGTTGTTTGTCAGCTTTAGTTCTACAAACTAGTACAACAGTTTTCTTAGCATTATACTGCACATCAAATCTCAACCCATAATCAGAGCAGATATTCAATAACTGCTGAAAACCAGCACTACTGGGTGAGAGAACAGCCATGTCATCAGCATACATAAAGTGATTGACCAAAGTATCACCAATCATACACCCGGTTTTACAGAGGTTCATTTCTTTTGATAGGTCATCCATATACAAGTTAAACAAGGCAGGTGAAAGAAGCCCACCCTGCCGCACACCATTACTAACACCAAAGGAAGCAGAGATGTTATTTCCCCATTTTACATGCATTTTCTGGTTAGAGTACTAGTAAACTAAAATTTGTATAATAATATCTGAAACACCTCTTTTTTTTTAATTTGTCAAATAACTTATTGTGATTAACACGATCAAAGGCCTTAGAGGCATCAACAAACCCAATTAACACAGATGAATTTTTCCTTAAGTATGTTCTTACAGCTTCTTTCAGGCCGTAAATACAGAAATCCGTTCCCAGCTTGGCTTTAAAACCAAATTGATTATCTGTTGTACTAATAAAACTGATTAAGCCGACCAAGCAAAATTTTTTCTAATACTTCAGATAACACACTAGCCAAAGCTATGGGTCTGTAGTTATCAAGGCTGCCAACCTTATTAGTTTTGTCCTTAATTACTGGCACAAGGGTAACAGTGCAGATACAGATAGTAAGGAATCAGGCAACTGCCCATGGGTCATAAACCCAGAAAAACACATTGCAAGCAGCACAGACACTTTTTGGTTAGCATATTTCAAATGTTCTGTTGCAATGCCATCAGAACCTGTTGCTTTATTCTCACACAAATTCACAATAGCCTGCTGAATTTCACTAGGGGTTATAACCACATCATTCTTAGCAATGTTTCCCAGTCCATAGGGTTCATTTTATACACAGTTAAATAAGGCAGAATAGTGCTGTCTCCATAGATCAGCTATATTATAAGCCCCAGATATGCCCTCTATGGTATTGGGGAGTAATGCAGCAGACCTGTTTAAGGCTCTAACATCATTCCAAAAGCCAGTGGTGTTATTACAAAGCAGTTTTTCAGCCATGGAGTCTGCTCTCATATTCTGTTCACATTTGGAGATCTATCGAATGGCATATTTAAACTTTGCACTGGTGAGTTTTTTATAATCTAAGATAGTCCCATGTCTTGGTTTACCTGCCTGTACCCACATTTTATATGCCTGTTTAGCTTCTGCACGGCATCCTGACACATGTTTATTCCAACCTGGCCTGATGCTATTAGTCCTTCTGTATGTAAGGTATGGTCTTGTGCTCTGGTACAAAGCATCCACAATGCCATCATACATAGTATGGAGGTCAGTACAGTGAGAAATATCACTGCAATTAACATCTGAGCACATAATAGCTGGAAGAGAAAGATTTATTTTACTCAAAAGATGATCAGTTTTCATATGATATACGAGCAAGTCATCTTTAGAGAGTGTGGACCAGTTAATTTTAACTGTAGGAGCACTATTTGCCCATGGGGAGACATGGGGAGATTTTTAATATCCAACATCATTAAAAATGGGACATGATCCGACATTGAATACTCATATAGGATTTCTAATGATTTTACAACAGCATGGGCATCAGCAGAGCTAATGCAATGGTCAAGCCATGACGTATGCCAAGCTTCACTTATATATGTATAGCTTTCTGCAGGTAGCAGGAGCTGACTGGACAATAATAAACTATTATCATCACAAAACTGATGCATATGTTTGGCAAATGAGGAATATTCATCAGATACATCTGCATTCATATCACCTACTACATACACAGAGGTAAAACAATGGACATCAATAAAAGAGCTCAAGAAAGCAAGTCTATTCAAATAAATGTCTTCATTCTGAGGACACTCATATGGTGTATAGACATTAATAATGATAAATTATTTGTTTTCGATTTTAAAATGAACAGCAATACACCAGTCAACACCAGTTCTGATGACATTTAAAACTTGATCCAGCTTTTTGTGCCATAGAATGGCTACTCCTCCTGCGATATGACCCCTCACTGTACCCATAGAAAGATCCACAGTAGATTCACCAGCTCCACAGAAACAATCATTAATACAGTTCAAACTTCCCAAGTCTTGTTTTGATAAAAACGTTTCTTGTAAACAAAGAACGTCACATTCTTGCAACAGTTTATCCACAACCAGACGTCGTGCTTTATCTCCAGCTGTATCACCGACACACAGTCCCCGGCAATTGTAAGAAATAACACGCTGTTACTGTTAAACTAAAATCTCCAGCATGGGGAAGTGGCATGGATTTTCTTGACAGGGGCCAAAATATTATTTGTGAGCCAGAATAAAGTAATGTTGTAATTTGTTGTGAGTTCATGCACTGTGTTGGTTTTGTTCTTTGAGCAAGGTGATGTTCATGCATGACTCATTTTGTGCACCAGTAAAAAAAAAAAGCATATGCCTATGTCTTGAATTTTGAAAAAAATAATCATATTTTATTTATCACTAAAGAAGGGTTCAGTGAATGTGTATATGAAACTGGTGGGTTCGGTATCTCAAAAAAGGTTAAGGACCACTGATTCAGATCGTCTTAGTGAACCAGCAGTTAAAATAGAATTGAAACTTCAGTGTTAAAATGTGTATTGAATATTATACATCTGCAGCTTTTCGGTGGCCTGAAATATATTATTCTAGTCAATAACATAAAGCAATGCAACCAACTTTGTTTGAAAGTGTCATATCCCAATCAGAACTTGTCTGTTCCAGCTTTGCTTGGTTTGTAACCTTTCGCATCATCTAGGAACAATTTCACTTGAAAGAAATCTGCCTTTTATTTTTCTAGTCTTTCTTTGTGGATCACAACAGTCGAGCCACGACCTTCATTGACCCTCGGATCCCACTGCAGAATGGTCGACTGCCAGGCCACCTGGCCCACAGACAGCATCTGCAGAGACTCCGTAGTTACAGTGCTGGAGAGGTACACAGCCAACACACGTCTCATCTGTCTGTGTATCTCAGTACCTCCTCCAGGAGAATCAACGTTATCAAAGGGGAAATGTAGCTCCTCCACTGTCTGCATAAACCAATGAAAAGATATGAGTTTACTTCACTAAATTAGGTTTACACAAGCAGCCTATCAGTAATGGTCACCTGGAGACAGACTCAATATGCCTTGTTGCTCTGATGTCCTTCAGGTGGTTCAGCAAAAAAATATTCTGACCCAGTCATGTGGTGACAGGCCACATGACCCCATATTGGGATTAGATGACTGCATCATAATCATTTCTTGAGGACTTTGATATTACTAGAACGTTTGAAGCAGGAAGGAACCTCTCCCAGCTAGGTGTAGTATATTGGAGGAGCAGTTTATCTACAGCTGAGAAAAAGGATCAATTTAGATCTGTTCATTAGGAAGTCCATCTCTATGTTAACTGTCAGACTATATAACCAACACTCAAACAATCTCAATAAGTCTATATGACTCTTCTGTTCTTTGCACATTGTGTTCGCGCACTTTTCTCGGTAACACTTTATGTGACGGGTTGTGAATAAGACTGTCATGACACCGTCAAAAACATGACATAACACTTGTCGTGAACATGAGTAAGTCTTTATGAATATTTATGACTGTTGTCATAAAGGGTCATTCGGTAAATTATGACACTTAATACAAAGTTGACATTATTCAAAATGTCTTTGTTATGACAACTTGTCATTAACCAAGATATCATGATATAAGTTTGTTATAAAAGTATTACTGATTAAACTTTAAAAAATTATGTAGCTCTATGTTATTAAAGCTAAAGTTTTATCAGTAATAAAACTTTACAGTCTTGTTCACAACTGACAAATAAAGTGTTACCCTTTTCTCATTTTTTGTAAATACCTTGTTGTTGTTGTTTTTATTGTGTGTGTTTTTTTTAAGATTGTAGGGTATGTTTTGAATTTACAGGTAGTTTAATTGGATGTAGCTAGAGTGTGAATTGAATGTGTTCAATTTCTAAAACAATTTTTGGTCCAACAAATCAAAGAAAAATGAGACTATGAAGCTGTTGAAGTGACTCTCCAGCTGCCACCAATCAGTGACCACCAGTCAGTGAACAGTGTTTCCTGTCTTGGTTTGTACTCAGGCCTCTGAAGTGTCCAGGAGTCGAGGGGCATCTCTGATGGATCGACCCGGTAACAGCCTGGTAGCGGCCATACGCAGTCATCATCAAACTGACCCAAAGCACCCGACTACTATCTGTAAGTGCTGACATAGCGTCTTGTCCTTGCCATGGAACCACAGAATACAATACAGTGGGGCAATAAAGTATTTATCCAGTTTTAACAAGCTGAAAAAGATGTCAAACAGCTGCCATTGACACAGGTAATGAGTAGAGAAGATATGAGGTCTGTGAGAGCAAGACGTCTTGCTTATTTGTGGATGACCAAATGCTCATTTTCCACAATAATTTACAAATAAATTCATTAAAAAGTCCTACAGTGTAATTTCCTGAATTGTTGCCTCTCATAGTTGAAATGTACCTATGATGAAAATTACAGACTTCTCTGAAATAGGAGAACTTTAGCAGCTGACTAAATACATTTCCCCCACTGTTCATGATGTACTACTGTATATCATATTTTGTAGAATTTCTTCTGGATTAGCTTTTTTCCTCCCTTAATTCAAATTATCAGATTTCAGAAGGTAACTTCATGGTTTCAAAATTATAAATTTATTTATTTGAAGATATATTTCTTTGCAAATAATAGAATCATTCCAACTTGTTAGTTTATGCATTGATCAACAATATTTGCTTCAATTTCACTCCTGTCCTGATTACTGACTAATGTGTATTATCAAGAAATATCTTAAAATAACCTATTTGACTGCAAATAGTGGATTAAAGAATGTAAACAAAAACAACCCTCATCCCCAATCTCACATTTGCCCAAAACGTTTATTGATGACCCCCAAAATTTTAATGAAAAGTATTCCGTAGTAGACTGATGGGACAAAACTGGAACTTTTTGAAAGTTGTAAATTTATGTATTCAGTTACATCTGGCATATAACTGAATGAATAAATAAATAATAATGACAAGGACAACTGTCAGAGGTGGTGAGGCAGATGCTGAGGACCCAGGTTGGAGTGAATGATGTTTGTTTAATGATGAAATAAATTACAAAAGCATATTAGCCAAAGTCCAGGCAGCACAGAATGAACGGAAGGCTATGGCTCAAAACTGGTCGCAACTTGTAACATTGGAGATGTGACAAAAGACTTGACAGCAAGACAGCTTGACACAACAGATTCGACAAGGACCCGACAAAGAACAAGGGAGACAGGTGGGTTTAAATCAGGGCTGGGCAATCCTGGTCTTCGAGGCCCTGTGTCCTGCAACCCTTAGATGTCTCCCTGGTTCAACACATTTGAATCCAATAGCTGAATCACCTCCTATGTGCAGTCATGTTCTCCAGAGTTCTGCTAATGACCTCATTATTTGATTCAGGTGTGTTGAAGTAGAGATACATCTCAAATTTGCAGGACACCGGCCCTCGAGGCCCTAGAGAGACAAGTGTAACTAATCAAGGGGTAGCTCGGACAACACAGAGTCCACAGAACAGAGAAACCTAAATACAGTCCAAATCCCCTGAGTGGCTCAAAAATACAGACATTAGATAGAACTTGTTAAAGTTTGGATTTAATTTTGACTGAGATGATGTGGGCTGAGGTTAGTCTGGTAAATCCTCTATTATGTGAATTCTAGCAATTGTAGAATCAAGAGTAAGCCAAAATTTATCCAGTGATATGAATAACTCATTGCTGGCTGTTGCAAACACTTGATGGCAACAATAAGGTTTGAAAACAAAACAAATATTAAATCAGGAAACATTTTTAACTGCAACGAATACCAGTTAGCAGTTTGTAAGTGCTGTGTGTATCTGTTATAGCTTACAATGACAAGATAGTGGCATTCCTGCGACAACCAAACATATTTGACATGCTACAGGAGCGCCAGCCCAGTCTAAGCAGAAACCATGCATTAAGGTAAGCATAGACAAAAAGGGAACTACATCTGCAAAGTAATACCAGAAAAATTTGAGTTGTTTCTATAGTGTAAAATCCAGTATTGTAAAATTTATTTAAATTCAGTTGCTTGAAATGAAGAAAAAATATTTTAGCTCCAACATAATTTTTTTACACAAATTTTAGCTACAATATGTGCAGCACTTAACACACAGATTTGATATTCTGTTAATGTTAAAATCCCATGTTGTTATTATGTCAATAGTGCTAATGAAGGATGCATGGTAACTGAACGTTATTAGGCTTTTGTAGTTAAGCAGATGAAGTATCCCAAATATAGTTCATATTTATTTCATATATAAAGTTGAACTACTGTATTGTATAAATAATGTATTATTATTATTATTATTATTATTATTATTATTATTATTATTATTATTATTATTATTATTATTATTATTATTATTATTATTATTGTTGTTTCTTTTTAATGTAGAGAAAAGGTGCACTACATCCGGACAGAAGGTACTCAGGGTGTGGAGAAGCTATCATGTGATGCAGACCTTGTAATTCTGCTGAGGTAAAACTTCATAGGTCACATTTGCAGAGCTGGTACAAGTCATCACCTGTTCACAGAATTGAACTAGAATGTTCGACCAGTGCTACATTAGACATTTTTAAAACTGCCCTCATTTCTAAATGAGCTTCTCATATTGGTTTTGCTCAGCCATGTATTTATTGCTCTTTCTGAACTACTGCACATTCAGGTTAGGACAGGAGGAGGTTGAAGTGCTCTCACAGAATCAGGAGCTCAAACCTTTCCCAAAGTATTTTGCTATTCAGAAGTGTTTCTATGGAACAAAGAGGTCAAGCACAACTTGACTCACAAGTTGGATCTTTTTTTTTTTTTTTTTTTTTTTTTTACTTCCACGTGTTTGACAACATTAGAAAGCTTAGAATCTGCACTTTATAGATTCATAAATAACTCAAAACACCCACAGGCAGACAATCACAATTTCAGAGAAAAACCTGCATCAGATAATAATAAAGCTGGACTATCACCTTTTATCAACTTGACCAATGTCCATACGACTTTTTGGAATAATTCATCTGCTTCTGCATTTGTCTTTGCAGTTTATATGAAGAGGAAATCATGTCTTACATTCCGCCTCACCCTGTCCATCCTGGGTTCAGCTTCTCCCCTCGCTGTTCACCCGCTTCCTCCCCACAAAGCTCTCCTGGTTGGTTTTTTATCTGTTCATGTATCCTATTGGAGGCCACAGCGCATTTGTGCGCTGATGGGAGATTCTAAAAAAGGAAATTGGGTCACAGCATCAAACTTTAGTTTATAATTGCTCTTCTTTCTTTGCTGTTCTATTGTCTTTGGAAAAAACATAAAGTGAAAAAGCTGTCAGCACAAACCAGGGCAAGATGAATGTAGGCTTTAATGTCAAACTACTGAGCCAATTGGCAGGGAAAAAGTCTTTCATGCTAAACTAACTCTGAACCCAACGTTGAAGATTGGGTGTACTGGGTGTATTGTCCTGACTCTGCAACAGGTCTACTGCACAATATTGAATAATTGTTTCATGCGGAGGCACAGACAAGACAGACAGAAAACCTCACGCCAGTTTAGATTTCAGGACAAACATGTTTGAAGTTCCTGGATGGATTTTCAGATGTGCGCAAAAAGGACAATTTCATTATATGAACACTTGAGTTTTGATAAATTAAGTATCTGGAAATATTTGGGATTCAACCACCAAACACACATTTATTTATATTTTGGTGACTTTGCCCACATAGTTTTCAACACAGATCAACAGAAAATTGCAAAGATATTTTCCTGTCTGATTTTAAAGTGCCTCACAACATACTATTACTGACTCAGTGGAAGAGACAAACAAATCCTGAAATATTTGCACTGCCACTTCATGGACTAGTAGTTTTATTTTATTTCTAAAACACTCATGTTGGAATTAAGATTATTTCCTCATTGAAAATGCAAAAATTAACTCAAAGGGTTAGAACTGAACAGATGTGGATCATTAGCAAACCAATAATCGGTAGGCTAACAAGAGGTAAAAGCTTCATTTGGGACCTGAAAGACAAATGACTAAAAATAGATTCACAATGCTAAAGTGTTGTCGTTCATTTGAGTTGTGTTCTCCTAGTAGAACTGGTTAACTGGTTGTGGAGGCTGTTTCCCATCCCTCTGCCAGAGAAGGGATGAATGTGCTCGTTGTTGAGCTTGCAACCTCAAACTAGGATCTGATTCCACAGGAGAGGAGCCTGATAACTGAAGGATCTGCCTCCCATTCTACTTTTAGAAGCTCTGGGAATCAGCAGTAAACCTGCAGCATGAGAGTAAAAAGCTGTTAAGAACATATGTACCAATCAGACATCTGCTGCACGATGGAGTTTGGTTATTCAGAGCTTCTGGGAAATAATTTCTTCAGGTTGGTATCTATAAGACACAATGATCATAGTCATGTCTACATCAGGTGTCAAACTAAATACAGATAGTACTACTAGCTAAGCTGGAATATCCCCAAACAGCATGGAGGTGTTGTTATGAAGAATGTAAAGCCTGAAAATCCTAAGTTATTCTTTAAGCGAGGTTTTTTTTTTAATGTACCCCTGCAGGTCTGCAGAGAGCCAGGGCCCCAGCTCCTTATCGCAGAGATTTTGAAGCCAAGCTGCGAAACTTCTACCGTAAACTAGAGGCTAAAGGCTATGGCCAGGGACCGGGCAAAATCAAGTAAGAACATACACTCATCAGCTTGTTGTGACCTCAAACTGAAGCTGAAATGCAATGGGATCAAAGGAAGTGCTGTGTTTGGTGTGTTCTCACAGACTGCTGATACGAAGAGAACACCTGCTGGAGGGAACCTTCAACCAAGTGATGGGGTATTCACGCAAAGAGCTGCAGAGGAACAAACTCTACGTCACTTTTTTAGGGGAAGAAGGGTACGCGTTGCTTCGCCACTCCATATAGCTCTGTTTATGTTTCTGAACTGAATATGAGGACGGCCTTTATCTTGTCATCTTTAGATTAGATTACAGTGGTCCATCCAGAGAATTCTTCTTCCTGCTCTCCCAGGAGCTCTTTAATCCATACTATGGTCTGTTTGAATACTCAGCCAATGACACATACACCGTTCAGATCAGCCCCATGTCAGCTTTTGTTGAGAACCATCTGGAATGGTAAGTAGAGATTTAACAAATTGGGATTTAGGTAACTAAAAACTTTCACTGACTGTGACTAACACCAATAATCGACAATGCAAAAGCATTCAAGGTTTTAATGTGACAAAACAAAGTCGTACATAATTTTGAAGTAGAATAAAAATCTTACACGGTTTTTGAACATTATGAATAAATTACACAAGCATTCATAGACCCCAAACTGTACTCCTTGTGTTAATACTGTGTCCTGTCTTGGTGCAAAACCTATTCCTATTAAGTTGGAACATTGTGTAAAAATAAAAACACAATATGATGATTTGAAAAGAATACTTTTTAACCTATATTCTATTGAATTCACTACAAAGACAAGATGTTTTATGTTCAAACAGATATACTTTGTTGATTTTGCAAATATTCTCTTATTTGGATTTTGGTTCATGCGACACAAAGCAGTATCATGTATCATTAACTTTCCACTCAAAACTGCACTACTGGTCTCTCACATAAAATTGCAATAAAATCCATTATAATCCATTATCCATTGTGGTTGTAACACAACAAAATGTGAAAACAATTGAAGTTAAACATTGATTGACAGTCCTCTAGAAAATGCATATATACATGACCAGTCAGATGTGATGTTGGTGTTTTACTCTGTAGCTTCCCTTCTTTATACTATGAGATTGTGATTATATGGATACAAAAACTTTTTCATTTCATCTAATGCATCTGTGTCTGGTTCAGGTTCCGTTTCAGTGGCCGTATTCTGGGCCTGGCTCTGATCCACCAGTATCTGCTGGATGCCTTCTTCACCAGACCCTTCTACAAGGCTCTGCTCAGACTGTCAGTACAACAACATGCATGTGTCATTTTCATTCAATACGTACCACATGTAAAAATATTTCCATTTTGACTATGTCGTAAACCCTCATGGTAGATTTGAAATTTGACCAAGTCATACATGTCAATTTTTTAAATCACTGATCTTTTAGAGCTTAAGGATTAAACTATTATTTTGCTATTATTATTATAGAAAGCTGAAAATGTGCCTCATTTGAACTTCCCTTCTTTCCAAGACCCCAACATGTATGTTATTCAGATAACCTGCCTGACCCCAGTGCAGCAATGTGGACTGTCAGATTGTGCTGTGTGTCTTGCAGGCCCACAGACCTCTCTGATCTGGAGTACCTGGATGAGGAGTTCCACCAGTCTCTCCAGTGGATGAAAGACAATGACATCACTGACATCTTGGACCTTACGTTCACTGTGAATGAGGAAGTTTTTGGCCAGGTTAGAACACTTCTGCCTGCATCAATTAAAATGTATTAATTGACTAAAATCAATTAAATGTATACACAAGATATATATATCTTTAAGATGTATATATTCTTAGTAGATATACATCTGTAATCATAGATGCTAATCAAGTAATTTTCTTAGTTTAATGAATTTATATGAACTTGGTGTGCACGGAAAGGTTGTGCTCACTTGAGACTTTTCCACTAAGGTACCTCTAACCAGTAAGGTCTCGATCCACGGCTGCCCGATTAATTTACCATTAGCAAATCCGGTGAGGCTCAGCCCAGCTATTCTCCGATTTCTGTGCCTACTTCAGGAGTAGAACTAGCAGCACTGAGCAGGGTATGGGACTGAAACCATTTGATTAACAGCTGACCGCACTGACTGATTGGCTCATGATTTATGTCACTGAAAACAGCAAACAACATTTAGCATTTAACAAGTCTAATTATTGACGGCATGTCAATAATGCTCAGTATGGAGTTTATTTATGAGATTAATCACAAGCACCGACAGGAACACATACTGTAGCATTTACAGTAGAATGACTGTGAATTAGCAGCGCTGCAATCCGGAAAGCGGCTCTTAATATGGACTGTAATAAAGAAGAGAGACACACTGCAGATGTGGTCAGTTTTCTGACATTGCTGCTGTTTTGCGTCAACAGTGTTAAACACTAGAACTACATAATATTAACTTATCAATAAATAAAGTTGATGCATGGCTATTGGCTGCTATCGGTTTATATCTTTTGACTGCATTACCAAAATCCAAAAGGCTGCACATTTTAAAGCGCCAGAAAATAATTATATGCACAGTAAAAAATAATCAACTGATCTGAGCATTTATCTTTATTATCTTTGGGTCAGCAATGAATTTCTATAAGAAATATTCCAAAGAAATAACATCTCAACATCTCTAATTAGTTCAGTCACTATTTGTGGTGGAAAATACATTTTTACATGGTTAATAATTAGCTGTTAGTTGTTAGTTGTTACTTTGTGACACTGAATCATTTATTGAAATGAGCGTGTTCAAATTAATGGCATATGTAATTTAATCTGTGACTGATCTGTCATTCATTGTGTGAACACCAGGTTCTAAACAGCTGGTGTTCAGCAAATGCAGCAAATGCACTGTAAAAAAGTACATTCTAAAGTGTCTTGGCACAAAAGTGAAGCAGTCTCTGAAACAGTGCTTATACAAGTAACTCAGTTCAGTCATTCCCACAAAAGCTAAAACTTTAAGCACTTTTCAGTTCAAACAAGTTTGAACAGCCATTACATTCATGTGTCCTCAATCTCTGTGTAATGGTAACAGTTTTATATTAGGCCCACAGACCTCTCTGTGGGTCAAAGCATTGGGAAGCGAAGTATTCCCAATGCTTTGATGTGAGTGTGAAATGTTATTTAATCACTATTTTAAAAACGCTGCTATTATGATGAGTACAGCTAACACACTCCTGATGGAATGAGGTCTTCAATGCAAAACTGCCTAAAAATAGGTGGATCTGTTGGAGGGGTACATATTGTTTGGTATTATATCTGGTTTAAATCAGTTTTCTAAACTCGCCTTTGGAAACTTTGTGGCTGTGTTGCTAGGTGACAGAGCGGGAGCTGAAGTCAGGTGGCTCCCACCTCCAGGTGACGGAGAAGAACAAGAAGGATTACATTGAGCGAATGGCAAAGTGGAGAGTGGAGAGGGGGGTGGTGCAGCAGACAGAGGCGCTGGTCAGAGGCTTCTATGAGGTGAGCATGAGTCACTAAAACAGCACAGCTCTAAACTAAAAGGACACACTGCAAAAACACACAATGCATAATATGTTTTTTTTTAACTATAAGATGGTAAACTAGACTAAACTTCTCCTGTTTTTATGTCAGGATACTTTTTCTGTTTGCTAAATGTCATAATATTGCAAAAGATAATGTTTGTGTCTGTCTTCAAATTCAAAAATCTATAAACACTGAGATAATTATTTTAGCCATATCAAGGAGAGTCCTGATTATGATTTGCTTCTTTCTCTCTGACTGGTCTTTCTGACAACGTTGGACTGTTTTTCCTCTTCAGCTAACAAAATATCTATATAAAGGTGTTGAATATTTTAATACAGTATATTTGGTAAGTATTTGATTTCAACTTGATAAATTTTTGCTGAGGACTACAACATTAAGGTTCTGTGGGAAACTATGCTTGGTTCATGATGCGTGTAAACCAGGTATGATGCGTGTAAACCAGGTTTACATATGATGCGTGGATAACATCGGTGTCTATTAAAATCAGGTCAGAACTTAAAACTGGGAGATTAAATACTGAGGGTGTGGAGAAAGTGACAAAGGAGCCAGAAAATCTAATCAGAGACAAATGAGAACAGAAGCGAGTTCCTGTCCTGTCTACTTGTGCATGTGAATCTAAAACTCATTTGTCTGTCTCTCTTCTTTTCCTATTTGAAAATGCTTAGAACCTGACAATCCTAAAACAATCCTGAGCACAATGGAATAAACTAAGTAACTGATCGACACTAAAATGATAAAAAAAAATTCCAAATGAAACTTCAAGTTCAAATGCCTGCAGATGTTACCAGAAATATAGTTACTGAGTAAATATTCTGAAAGAGTTAGAAACTCCATTTGAGCTTTTAAATATTGATAAAAGAATGGCATTTATCAAGTTGTTTTCTTCTGGATAAAAAATAAAATTGGTCTGTGCACATGATTTGGATTTAAAAATAACTAACTTTTTAGAGAAATTATTTGTCATCTGTGTGAGAGTGAGCTGTAATTTGATTATATTACATTAAAGGTGTAAACAAAAATAAATAAATACAATTTCAAAAGGGTTATCATTCACAACTAAACTTTGATCAGGAATGCGACACATTGATTCTAAAGCGCTCGGCTTACGCCACCGACTATCTCCTGCTCAGGTGGTGGACTCCAGGCTGGTGTCGGTGTTTGATGCGCGGGAGCTGGAGCTGGTCATTGCTGGGACAGTGGAGATCGATCTCAGTGACTGGAGGAGCAACACTGAGTACAGAGGAGGTCTGTGTCATCTGTTCAGTTTCATTCCCAGATTTCAGACAAGATACATGCAACTCAAGTCACATTCTTTTAGACCTAGACACACTCATTTGTTTGCTTTGTTTTTTGTGGTAAAAAGTAAGAACCCTGTTGTTTCAGAGACTGCTTCACTTTTGTGCCAAGACACTTTAGAATGTACTTTTTTACAGTGCATTTGCTGTATTTGCTGAACACCAGCTGTTTAGAACCTGGTGTTCACACAATGAATGACAGATCAGTCACAGATTAAATTACATATGCCATTAATTTGAACACGCTCATTTCAATAAATGATTCAGTGTCACAAAGTTATAGAAGTGTCTGACAACTAACAGCTAATTATTAACCATGTAAAAATGTATTTTCCACCACAAATAGTGACTGAACTAACTAGAAATGTTGAGATGTTATTTCTTTGGAATATTTCTTATAGAAATGCATTGCTCGCCCAAAGATAATAAAGATAAATGCTCAGATCAGTTGATTATTTTTTACTGTGCATATAATTATTGTCTGGCACTTTAAAATGTGCAAACTTTTGGATGCAACAAAAGTACATGGGCATATGTAAATGAATTTGATGTCTTTTTTTCACCAGTTATTGCTTTTATGACCATCAGTATAAACAAACAATAAAACTGGAACTTGTTTATAAAATAGCAAAGTAATTAAACTAAAACAACAAAATTAAACAAGAACAACAGAGTGGTATGAAAAATATAATATTCAACTGTAACAGAAACACAGGACAAAGATGGAACGGTGCTGAGCAGCATCACAAAAAATGATCGGTTTTAATATGAATCACACATAGATAACTTTGGTAAAAGTAGAAGAAAACAAAGTAAGAATCAGATATAAATAAAGACAGGATAATTTAAGCATGTTTCCTGATATTATTATCTGGTTTCCTTCTCTGCTGGTGTGTCTGCTATTGGGTGTATTGGGTGTAGAATATATTTTAATCAAATATTCAAAACAAGGGATCATTTTGAATTAATTTGTTTTTGACTGCCGAAGGAGGAACAGCTTATCCTGCTCTCTCTCGTCCTTACTGATAACTCTGCCTGTGAATTATTTTTTAATTTTAAGGCGACAGTTTTTTTTATAGTTATATTTACATTATTGACATCTTAACTGGATTTTTCCAAACCTAAGGACTGGGGGATTTTCTTACTTTTATTTTCACCTTACTTTTCTTTACCTCCAAGTTAAACCAGGGCAAAATGCCTCCGGCTGACCCCAAGGTCATGAGCAGTATTTTACAACGACTTCAGTTTATAGAAATGAAGATTAAACTACTGGAGGTGAACTTTGAGATCAACGCTACTTGTGGAAATGAAACAACTCTTCCTCAAATCAACGGAGAGGTCGTTGATGGTGGTCGTTGATGGTCGTTCCAGGGTGAGCTGCACCGGGCAGCTCACCCTGGAACGCTCTGGGTGCCAAGCCGAAACAGGAGTCTCGCACTGCGGATCCGATGAGACGATTATCAGGGAGAACCCCGCACCTGGACGAATCAGGGTGGCCGGCTCTGAGCCGAAACCCACCTTCAACTTCAACACCTGCTCCGCCAAAGAAAGACAAACAAGCAGCTGCAACCAAAACGCCTCCACCGACCCCACGGACAAAGCAACCCGCACAAGCCTCAAAACATTCTGACTCTGTGGGAATCCCACTGAAAAACAGATTTTCTGCACTCCAGCCTGAGCCTCTGAGTGAAACTTCGCCTTCAAACATCAACAGTGAGGCAAGACCAACACATTGATCCCCCAAAGCTCCCAAGGACAAAGCGACCACCAGGAAAACTAAAGGTAACCCAAAAGTGCTTGTTGTTGGAGATGAGGCAGTAAAGGGAATCAGTGATGTTTGCAATCCAAGGAAAACAAGAGTGATGTATTTTCCTGGTGACACTGTGTCTGATTTAACCAACAAACTGCTCTCTCTAACCACTGATCAGCCAGATATTCAGACTTTAGTTGTGCATGTTGGAGCCAACGATCTGGCAAAGCAAAAGTCTGAGATTCTGAAAAAGGACTTTAACATTCTTCTGGACACTATGGGAAAACTGAGAATGAAGTTATTTCTCAGTGGTCCAATTCCATCACCTCAATGGGGAGACGAAAAACACTCCAGGCTGCTCACGATCAACAAATGGCTGATTAAAACCTGCTCTACCAGCTCAGTGACCTTCATCGATAACCTCTGGATCTATTGGCAGCGCTTTCACCTTTTTGGAAGAGGAGGACGCAATCCTAATAAACATGGGATAAAGCTACTCGCTGCAAACCTTTTTTATTTTATCAACAAGGACAGCAACAGGATCATCGCGTCAGAAGAACAGGCTCAAGGATGTCTGACTAGGATGGAACGCTCCCCGGATCAGGAGCACGATATTCCAAAACAAGCTGATAAATCGACTGGAGACGGAGCGACTGCTTCCCTCGCTCCTTCCCCCCTCCCTCACTGCTCTTCCAATCATTCACAGGATTCAATGGATACCAATGAAGAAATGTCTTCCGGACCAGAGTTTCTTAAATTTACAGATGGAATGAATCAACAGGTTCGCCTCGGCACGTCTCTCATTAGTACTCACGTAGCAGACCTCACTACATTTAAGCAACCTGCCCCTTACTTCCCAGAGGATCCATCACTCTGCGTTTCTGAGGTCTGAGGCCGGGGACCAGATATTATCTTTACACCTGTCTCCATCCAGAATGTGTCTGGCCCCCGGGTTCTGCAGAACAGGACATTACCTGTCCGGATCACTACAAGAAAATTTACAAAAACCAGAAAATGAAATACAGCGGTCCTAATTCAAACCTCAGAGTGATCCCCTGCCTAAAGGAACCTCAGACTGAAAATCTTTTGGCCTCCAAGCCACTTAAAGTAGCTCTTTTAAATATCAGATCACTTTGTGCTAAAGCTCTGTTAATTAATGATTTCATCACTGAGTATAATGTTGATGTTATGTTTCTGACAGAAACATGGTTGAATGACGATAATGACCAAATTGTACTCATTGAATCAGCGCCTCCTGACTACAGTTTTTTAAGTGAGAATAGAAAACATAAAAAAGTAGGAGGCGTGGCTTCTATATTTAAAAATACCATAAACTGTAGTAAAATCTCTTTCGGTCATTTCACATCTTTTGAGTATCTTGGAATTCAGGTTAAAGGCTTCAAACGAACTTTGACACTAACTTTATACAAAACTCCAGCATATGTGGAAAATTTCTTTACTGACTTGAATGATCTTCTTTCTCTCATATGCATTGATTATGATTGTTTAATAATTGTTGGTGATTTTAACATTCATGTGGACAAACCCGAAAACAGAGGAGCAAAAAAGCTCTCTGATATTTTAGAAAATTTTGGTTTAACACAACATGTTAAACAAGCAACACACACTCAAGGACACACACTGGACCTGGTTATCAGTAAGGGTGAATATTTCCAATGTCTCTGTAATTGATGTCGCCCTGTCGGATCACTTTGCTGTTATCTTTGAAGGTTCTTTATTCTTTGACCCACTTGGACAAACAGCTACTGTCACAAACGTTCTTTCACAGAAAACACAGCAGAAACATTTAATCAAATCTACTCTTCCTCCTCACCCTTAAGCTGTAATGATGTAGATCAGTTGTTAGATGATTTTCAGTCTAAAGTTTCATATATCATTGATTCCATTGCCCCAATTAAAGTAAAGGTTTTGACTGGTAGAAAGAAATCTCCATGGAGAAATGCACAAATAGTTCGGTCTGCAAGACAAGTCTGCCGCAGGGCAGAACGACAATGGCGTAAAACTCAACTTCACGTTCATCACAACATCTACAAAGAAAAACTACGTAACTATCACTTAACACTAAAACATGGAAGGGAGGCTTTCTTTGCAGATGTCATAAACAAAAACATCAATAATGCTCGAACTTTATTTGCAACAGTTGACAGGCTCACAAACCCTCCTGTGACGTTACCACCTGAATTCCAATCTAATGTTGCCTGTAATAAGTTTTCTGATTTCTTTTCAGAGAAAATCCAAAAAATCAGAGGATTAATCTGCACATTAACTTCAAAGCCAGAACCATTGCTGTACCAAAACAAAACAAATACAGAAAAAATGACCCATTTTCAACTACTTAATTATAAAACTCTAGAAGAAATTATAAATCAATTAAGTTCAAGCTCCTGCTGTCTGGATGTCCTTCACACACATTTCTTTAAGAAAGTCCTGCCTGTTATTGCTACTGATCTGATCCAAATCGTAAACTCATCGCTTACATCAGGTGTTTTCCCCCAGGCCTTGAAAACAGCAGTCATCAAACCACTGTTAAAAAAGAACAACCTGGACAAATCACTATTGCAGAATTACAGGCCAATCTCAAACCTCCCATTCATCAGCAAAGTTATTGAAAAAACTGTGTGTAAACAATTAAATAGTTTCCTCATGATGACCAACTGCTTTGACACTTTCCAGTCTGGTTTTTGTGCTCACCACAGCACGGAGACTGCCCTCGTAAAAGTATTCAATGATATTCATATAAATACGGACTGTGGCAGAACCACGGTGCTGGTTCTGTTGGACCTCAGTGCAGCTTTTGACACTGTCGACCACGACATATTACTGAATCGACTTGAAAGTTGGGTTGGACTCTCTGGTTCGGTGCTCGACTGGTTTGAATCCTACATAAAGAACAGGGATTTCTTTGTTTCAATTGGAAACTTCTCATCAAAGAGGTCAAAGGTCACATGTGGGGTACCCCAAGGTTCAATCCTAGGAGCCCTCTTATTTAATATTTATATTCTCCCACTAGCTCAGGTCATAACAGGAAATAATAATAGCTACCACAACTATGCGGATGACACACAGCTCTACATTACGATGTCACCAGGTGACTCTGAACCCATCCAATCACTGAATAAATGCTTAGAGCAGATAAATGTGTGGATGTGCCAAAACTTTCTCCAACTGAACAAAAATAAAACTGAAGTCATTATTTTTGGACCTAAAGAGGAACGATCTAGAGTCAATGCACAGCTTCAGTTATTACAGCTAAAACCTAGCGATCAGGCCCGAAACCTGGGAGTAGTGTGGACTGGACGGACTTGAACCTCCAGAGCCACATAAAGACAGTAACAAAATCGGCCTTCTATCACCTGAAGAACATCTCCAGGATTAGAGGACTAATGTCTCAGCCAGATCTAGAGAAACTCATTCATGCGTTTGTCTGTAGTCGCATTGATTATTGCAACAGCATCTTCACAGGCCTGTCCAACAAATCAATCAAACAGCTGCAACTGATCCAGAATGCTGCTGCTCGCGTTCTCACTAGAACCAGGAAAATAGAGCACATAACACCAGTTTTAAAGTCCCTCCACTGGCTCCCTGTAGCTCAAAGAATAGATTTTAAAATACTGTTGTTAGTTTACAAATCACTGAATGGTTTAGCACCACAATACATCAAAGATCTGCTGTTGTTGTATCAACCTTCCAGACCTCTCAGGTCTTCTGGTTCTGGTCTGCTCTGCATCCCCAGAACCAGAACCAAAAGAGGAGAAACAGCTTTCAGCATCTATGGACCAAAAATTTGGAACAAACTTCCAGAAAACTGTAAAACAGCGGAAACCCTGACTTCCTTCAAATCTCAAGTAAAAACGCACCTGTTTAGAGTTGCATTTGAAATGTAATATGTATGGATTTATGAATTTTATTTTTTTATTTTATTTTATTTTTTTTCTGTTGTGGGCAACGGGGCCCGGCGAATACCCGTGGTTAAACGGACGGCGGAGTCCAGCGGTAACAGGCGCTTAAATTCTGTGTCAAAGGGAAGGGGGAAGAAGGGAAAGGGGAGGGAAAAAGAAGGCGAAAAAAAAAAAAAAAAAAAAAAAACTTGGTATTTTATTCTATGTTGCATGTCTTTGTGTTTTGTATTTATGATGTAAAGCACTTTGAAATGCCTTGTAGCTGAAATGTGCTATACAAATAAAATTTGATTGATTGATTGATTAATCATTGAATTTTGGTAAAATGATCTTCTTTATAGTGTTAATGCTTCCTTAATTTGAAAGTGGTATTAACATCCATCATTTAAAATCATCCTTTGTTGTTTTCAATAGAGGAGTCAAGTTCAGGCAGAATAACTCTGATCATTTGAGAAGGAGAATTGTATCTCCAGGAGTTACAGCATTAACAATTAGTGTACTGTCCCTGCCAGGTTATCATGACGGCCACATAGTGATGCGATGGTTCTGGGTAGCGGTGGAGAGGTTTACCAATGAGCAGCGTCTCCGTTTGCTGCAGTTCGTCACAGGGACCTCCAGTGTACCGTACGAAGGCTTTGCATCCCTAAGAGGATCTAATGGCCTCCGACGTTTCTGCATTGAAAAATGGGGCAAAGTCACATCACTACCCAGGTATGTCAATGTTAAAAAAAAAGTTACACCAAAACATCCAAATTTGCACAGAACCATAAAGGCAGCACCCATCGGAACCAACTTAGTTTATCTGCAAAAAAAAGAGAGTTGGTTTGGGTTTTAATTAATCTTTAAAATATTTTGTTTAAAAAACATATATTTTATAAAAGCTAGACACCGCAGCTTCACCTAAATATCATCTGGGTATTATGTCGGAGCTAAACTGGTGTTTGGTTCAGATGAAGCACTGCTGCTTGCAAGATGAAGAAATCCTCTCATTCAAAGAGTCTTGCTGACTTCGGTTCACTTGCATTGTCCCCACTGAGCACTGAAGCATCAGCAAGAGAAAAACACAAAGCGGTCACTCTGAGCTATTTGATCAGTTTGTTTTCTGAAATCTTAGGGTGTGATTTTGAGGATGGTAAAACATCATGTATGCTCTTCTGAATCAATAAAATACCTCATTGCTAGCTGTCACCAACACCAGTCACTTTCTGTATTTCACTTTCTATCTTAGGGCTCACACCTGCTTTAACCGCCTTGACCTTCCTCCATACCCCTCATACACCACGCTGTATGAGAAGCTGCTCATCGCTGTGGAGGAAACCAGCACTTTTGGCCTGGAATGATCCATAGGAATCAAATGGTTTCACTCTGGCTTGGCCTGGAAGCTGAAGGAAGGAGAGCAGCCCGTGTTAGCTCCAAGTCTCGTAAAGATTTGTGAAGTGTAACAGACGTTTGATGAATTGGCTTGGCTCTCTGTACATCACTGTTGGATTCTCTGTGTTCATCTATCAGTTCACTAGAAGGAGGTTTCTGATTGCAGCCATGGGACGACAGTTCTAGTTTTATTAGTGGTAGTGAAACACCACATTGACTTTTCAAAACTCATTATGTGTATGTTTGTATGAGGGAATACAAGATTCTTATTTGCATGAACCAAAGTGGATAAACCTTCCAAAGAACCAAAATGCTCATAGTGACAAATAATAAATGGAAACCAGGCAGATACAATGTATATAACTGGAAAACAACAAAATAGTTCTCAAATGAGACTTTTACAAATCTAAGATTGTTGATATTGCCTGACAATGTGTTTGAATGTATCATTGATATTTAAAAAAAGATGATAAATTATAATAAATTATAAATAATTGTATGGTTTAATATATATTAGAGGGTAGTAAAATAGTGAAACTGTGAGCAAAAATAGGATGAAAAAATGGCAAGATCGCTGTTCATAGCTACATTTCAGATCATCAGATTTTACTTAAAAACTAAAAGCTGAAGAAATTATGGAATTGTGAACACGCTAATAACAGATTTCTCCACTAAACACAAACTGATGTATTCTAACACTTTAGGTGAATTATGGCTAAGTTCTTGGATCAAGCGAAAACCTCATGCGGATTATTGTTGAACATTAACTGGCAAATAAAATCTGAGAAGAAAAAGTTTAAACTTCTCTCTGCCTTAGCATCATATAAATTTTGGACCAAGATATATGCAAAGCTTCAGATTTTTATTTTAAAAAAACACCTCAATCAATGTTCATTTTATTTCAGTACTGTTACATAACAGGAATAAGCCACTCAACAGTGTAATTAAAATTATGCACCCATTTAAAATGCCATGAGTTTACTTAGGTCTTTCCAAACAGAGATTTGTTGTTAGTGAATTATGTAGAGATTAATTTATCTTAAAAAGGTAATTAGATATCAACAAAAATGTAACCTAAAATAAATCTTGGAATCTTCTAACATACCCATAGGTTAAAGCCATTCATTCGGGTTCTCTGGTTCTGCTCTCTGTGAACAATCACATTTGTGTTTTAGGTCTTGTGGATGCACTAAGAAATTGAAAATTGGATGCAAACACCCAAATCTGCAAGGATGACATCATGGCCAAATCCTGCTACATGGAGGTTCATTTGTCAAAATGCAAGAGCACCGATTTTCATTTATGAGAATGAATTCTTATTTTCTCTGATACATTGTGCAGTTCTCCCTCAAAATTCTCCCCTCACAGTTAAAAAAAAATCTAAATATTCAATGCTGTCGATCAGAATTTCTGATCTTATTTTTTTTTTCTTCTCTCAAATTTGAATTCTTTCAAAAATTTGTCTTATAGTTCACACACACACACACGCAGTCATAGCTGTGTATTTTAACAGGAAAGAACATTCATACAATAAAAGGCTTTTATTATATAAGCCGTTACAGTTCATTTCAGTGGACGGTTATAAACTCAACAAAAACAAACTATTTGGCTTTTGTCCCTACAAAGAATTGGTGTAATGCAGCAAGCTCTATAGCTGGTCATGCAGTTTTTTATTCTAGATTTCTAAGTTCAATGTACGTAGAAACATCAGCTGGAGACATACTTCATCTTTGAGAAAACGGCAACATTAAGGACAGCTGTCCTCCACAACAGTCCTCCTCTCTGAGCACTTTTAAAAGACCATGATGTCATTAAATCAATCTTTTCCAACTAAAGGGCTTCTGAGACCTTCTATGGAAACTTGGGGATCACATCGTCCAATAAGCATGCGCTCCATGGTTTGGCTGCTTATTATGTGGTCCCAAGCTATCATTGGGGGATTTCAGAAACCTACCAACCTGCTGAGGGATACTGCAACTTTGAACTGCTCTTGTTCTGTTTGAACAGGAACTGTCATGTTCTAGTCTTCCACAGATGGCTGCTTCATCTCAGACTGCTGTTGCTCTCTAACTTGTCACTATCAAATGTTTTGAATTGTTGCAAAGCAGCATGCAAATGTCCAAAGGCTCAAGATTAATGGACACACTTATCTTCTAAACCACTATGTATCGGAGCCCCATGACTAACCAATGTAATATATGCAATAACAGATACTTTGACTGCAACATGTACCACAGTCATCTTGTCTCTGACGGTGACTGACTGCAGACTCCTGCATTCATCCCCGAGTTTTTACTTCCATGTTTGAGTAATGATATGGTGCCTCAGTAACTTACTGCCTCAGACATGGTGTGTGGGGTTACTGGGATTCAAACCTGGCGTCATTTTTGGTCCAGTTACTTGTATGCTTATTTTTGTTTGTTAGTGTCTTCTCAGTCAGGTGGACTTGGCATTCTAGAGAGTGCTTGTTTTGTACATCATGTCTGATTAATATCATTTTGATGCTTTAACAAACCTAAAGATATCAGGAGTATTTATTCATGGACTTTGAAATGAAGAGGTAGTAAACTTACCATTTTACAATCATGTTACATATTTTACATGTAGTAAAAAAAGAAGGCGTGCAAGAAAAACTGCTCAAGTTGCAAATATCTGTCATTTTCATTGTTGAGATTTTTCTTGCAACAGAAGTTTGCATTTCTTTGTTATTTACATTGTTTTTTGTAAATAACAAGGAAATGTAAACTTAGTTTACTAATTACTAATTAGTTAAATTTTATTGTTTGGTTGATTTTGTTTTCTGTTTAAATACACTATATTGCCATAAGTATTGCTGTTCCGCCTTTTCACATACATGAACTCGAAGTGACATCCCATTTTCAACTTTGACATAATTTTGACTACCGTAACTCTTTGTAGCAATAACTCTTTGTAGCAATAACTGCTGCAACTCCTCTTGGAGGGTTTCCTCAAGTGCATCATTTAGCAACAGAGAATATTCATAGATTAAAAATAAAATAAAATAATAATTTAACCTATTCTCTCTTTCCCTAGTGCTGAAATTGTAGGATTCTAAACGGAGACTAAGTGCCTTAGTTCTCCCAGTCAGGCTGGATCTTTTGGAAACCCACTTGTCGATTTCTTGGACAGAATCCGCAGTTAAATTGTCTTCCTCAACTTGGTGATATAGATGACTTACTGTTACAGCACCACATGGTCATTCTCTCATAATTTTGATACAGTAGTAATCATACACACGTGTTACTCTATTTTCAAGATCATTGTCAAAATCACAACTTTTCATCCAAAATCCAATCATTTTGGATATATGCAATTATTTCTCTAATGATTGCATATTGGTTCCTTAACAATTAAGGGGCCAGTTATATCTTACGTTATAATCATCATCATCATAGTTTAATTTTAGCCAGTTTCTTAAAAGAAACATAAATCATTAATTATTTTTAATCGATTTCATAGTTGCACACTTCTGTAAGAGTAAAAATGCTCATCCATGATTTTTACTTCCCACTTTTATTTATTCAATAAAGTGATAGTACTTCATTCTTTAATCGGTCTGTGCATGGAAGTAAGTAATTGTCTCACTTGTTTTTGACAGAAATTTTGCATAGCTGTTGGAAATGTTAGGTATGGTCACTTATTCCATGAAATTTTATATTCTCTGTTTTTGAGTCAATCTAAGGGCTGCATAATATTTGGATATCCATTAATATTGACTTTATAGAAAGTTGGAGAATTCTTCACAGTATATCTGCTGACCCAACTGTGATTTCATCTGATTTATGGCTTCATAGGTTCCATTTTGTTCCAATATTAGTGACAGGTGACATCGGAATATTTAGTGTTAAAAATTCAGATGGACCTTATTACACAGGAGCTGCCCTTTTACAATAACACAGTGAGTGTGACCCATTTTTTCATGTTTGTAGAAGCAATGTACCTTTGTGATTAACTTTATTTACATATGAGAATGGAAGTAATTAGAATACCTGAATTCAAAGATTTATGCAAACAATTTTGGCTATATATATATTTCATACTATTCTGAGTTATAAAATGTAAATTGGTCCGAATCACATAGATGATATTCACTCGCTGGAATCTACATTTTGAAAAAATCTCCATAAAACTTATGCAATAGTGCATTTATTACCAAGGAAATCCATTTTAACATAGCTAAGTATTTTTGGAATGGAAAGCTGATTTTTGAAGGAGCATTGCTTGAGAATCATAATTTGTGACAATAACATTATTATCTGTCTCAAAACAGTTCTTAATGGAGATGAAGACCCAAACTATCAGGCATGGATTGACGAGATGTACTGTTGTACAGTCACTGTGCATTCCCCTTTAATTAGCTAACCCAGATGTTATTGTCATTGTAAATTGTTTTTTAAACAATCGTAGGCCCGGGGTGGAGAGGTGGACAATTGGACCGCATCACACAAATCAGAAATAGGAACTGTAAAGTATACACTGACAAAGTCTTTTCACCATCACCTAATTTTAGACAGAATCAGGTACAAATTTAGATAAGCAAAAGACTGGCTTAAAAACGAGCTGGCATGTCCACCAGGGGCCAATCAGAGGGCATCAGTGACAACATCTGAACTACAGCAACTGAGGAACCTACAGTAGCTGGAGCAGCTAAGAGTCACTGAAAATAGCATGAAAGGATCTAAGGGCCTGAAATAATAAAACAAAAAATTGGCAGATTGATATGTCATCACATGAGAAACAATCAGAACACCCTTGTTAGTACTTATTCTTTCAAAGAAAGTTTATTTCAATACTTTCTGGAGAGTGCATGCTATTTCTTTGCAGAGAAAAGGAAAAGTGGCAATAAAGAGAATGTTCTCTGAAAAATAAAATTTTAAATCTTGCAATAAACAAAAATTACAAGATGTTCCCTATTGTGCTTCACATTCAGAACTAATTTTTTTTTTTTTTTTTTTACAGTATATTTCCAGAGTTAGACCTGTGACTCACAGGTCTAAGTGAAAGTTGACCAAATCCACGATGGAATTGTCAACTCCATAAACTCTATAAAACTTATTTTCATTTGGGGTCTTATCAAGATCATGAGGACATTCATGATAAGAAGGTTAAAAGGGAAAAAAAAAACTACCAATAAATACACTGTTAAAAAAATTAATAAATAACTCAGGAATTCTTAAAAATGCATTCATATTAAAAATGTTTTCACATTGATGTAATTTGGCAGTACAGAGATTAAAACTGATCAATTATTATTGTGAACATCAACAGTCTTTAGGGACAAAAAAACACTGCCCTAATCTAATCTCATCTGATCTAATTCCTCTTTATCACAATACATTTCCAGATGTTACATAGCAATAAAAAAGACCAAGGGAGGTCAGGAACTGAAGACGTTCTGTGACAAAACTTTTGAGTCCTGGGCGAGTTTGAGACTCATGGCGATGGGAATGAACAGTCTAGGACAAATGGCTCTTGAAAAAATTAGAACTTGAACTTGCTGGTGTGAATATTCAGAACATTGTGGTGAGTCGGTCAGAACTCCAAAGAACGCAGAGTCGTACTCCAGGTGATTCAACTCGTACTTGCAGTTTATTTCTTTATTTTGGTAATTGTGTGTGGTTCTAGAAAATAAACAACAATACAGCATCAGTGTCTGTATAACATGACTGAAATAACATCACACATCTGAATAACTGCACTATCAATGATTCTAAATACCACGTTTCTACATACACGCCACAAAAAACCCACCGTGTTTAACTCTTAAGTGTGCACATGAACAGAGTGTTAAGAATAAAAAGAGGAGATAACTTGATTTTAGCTCGTTAATTCTCCTCTGATCCCAGATTCTTGAGCCTCAATATGCACAATGAAAAAGAGCAATCATACGACGTCAGACTTCAGATATCTAGAGTTTATCCAGAGAATTCAAATGCAAACAGAATGTCACAATAAGCATCTCACCCAGAAATCCAAAAGTCCAAGACATGACAAAACAGAAATAATTGCACGAGTTGAAAGAAAGTAAACACAGAAAATGCATTTTCCGGAAATTGCGAACTCGGGCAGAAAGCAATTCAAGATCTCTGTTGCAAACGAAAACTTTTATAAGCCTGTGCCTTTCTCTAAATTTAAATATATGCATTAAGAGATGTGTTTTTTCTCTGTGAGGGCTGTCTTAATGTTACTTTTACTACCTCTGCTAAAGAGCCCCAAAGGCAGATATATGGATTGTCAAACTGGGTCTTTGGCGTACCAGGCGTCTCCTGCAAACTCTCCCTCGTCTAAATTTACGACATATGCCTGTTTTGGTTTTCTGCCTCAGTGATTGAACTAGAACGTGTTTGTGTTTTACTGAAACAAAATCTAATGCTAAATACTAAATATAAGTTTGGATCTAAAACTAACTAATTCAAAACATGCTTAAAGAAAAATATTTAGTTCTAGTATGGATAAAATTATTTAGAAAAAGTTTTAAGATCCTAGTGAACTTTTGAACCACACTAAGGAATTTGTTAATTGCCTGGCAGACAGACTCCCTGTCTATAGAGAGTTAAGGAAAGTCTCGGCCTGTCTTTTCTGTAGAATCCTCCCTATAGAATTTATGTAAAATCTGAGAGTGGCCAGTTGCTTTAGTTTGGATCTTTATCTAAATTTATGTGAACGTAGAGTGTACTTTAACTTACTATGGTATATTTCATATGCATCAAGGCTATCCTGTGCAGTATTGTGCTAATTTAAAAATCTATTTCAACAAGAGCATGCTATTAATTAAGGGTAAAACTAAAATACTCCGCTAAATAAACAATATTATTGACAGCGAACATCACTTACTTGTATTTCCACGCACACACATCAAGGAAGGTAACAATAAACAGCAGCCGGTTAAATAAACAAATGCGAAGGTAGCTATACTCCTTTTCCACTCTCTTTTTTTCTCTCTTTCTTCGTCTGCATGCTGCAGCTGCTCTAAGCCCTGTCCCTTAATGGCTCAGCATGGCAGTTTGGTATACAGCCTTTTTCACAGCTCTAATGGGGAACAACAGCTCATTTAGAAAACCGTAGATTATCTCTTTGGCTTTGATTAATAAACTGAGATCTTTCATAACACTGGACAATGAAGAGGCCTCAAAGACACAATGAAATGGGTTTATTCTATCATCAGCAAAATCTGTCTTATTGGTTGTTACCTAGAACCTGGTCCAGTGTGACAAACATGAATCAAAACAGCTCCAGAAATGTTACAAAGTGATATTTCATTATGAAACCTGCAAGTTCCTTTAAAATCTAAACCTGAACAAGCCCATCAGTATTTGGTCACTGTGAACCAAATTACATCCATTCCAGCTAGGTGCCCATCTTGTTGTTGACCTTTTTATCCATAAAATATAAATAGAACACAGACTTTAGCTAACTTTGTATCCACTCAAAAATTTCAAGTTCCTGCAACTCAGTTGTCCCAGACAGTCTGCTAGAGTTAGAAGGTTGTGTTTCCTAAAAGGCTGTGCTGCCTTCCATCACAGCTTACAATTAATTATGTTTTCTTTTTAAGGATGATTTTGGCATTACTGGCCTTTATTCAATAGTGATATGACAGAAAGGGGGAGAGACATGCAGCAAGAAAACTGAGGAAAGGCGTCACATTTGGGACGGCAGTGTGGAGGTCTGTAGCTTCCACTCTAACCACTGCACCACATTTTGTTTTCTTAAAACATTTAAAAAAAACTTCCAATTGTCAGAGATTGACCCAACAATTCCCTCTGTACTTAGTATAATGACAATCATTTTATCTGACTTAAACCACATTGTTGTCACTGTGTATACTTGTACACACATCAAGGAAGATTTATGTAAATTTTGAGTAGTTTGTGAAAAAATTTATCAAGTGTTGTATTCCCCT